CCAGCCATCCTGGCTTTTCTACAAGACCATTTCATAGATGGAGGTATACACGTCCACCAGAAGGCTGCTCATGTCCCACTCATCTTTGTGCATACGTGCTTGATGTTGCTAGGCTATGATGATTCTTGCTTATGCCATTTGAGTATTTTAGGACTTTTTTTGCAATGCTGGGGATCCAACCAAGGGCCTCATGCATATTAGGCAAGCGTTCCACCACTGAGCACATCCCTAACCCAACCATTCTGAGTATTTTAAAGTGTACTAAACAGCCTGAGTTTCAAGCGGTTTTGTTTTTCTCAGTCATTTTGTCACGGCCAAACTTTACCCAAAGTGATCACAGAGGTCTCACAACCCTTAGGCAGTATGGGGAAGCATTTAAGGAGAAATAATTGGGGGACACCAGAGAGGAAAACAGTGGTCCCTGTCCTCAAGAGGCTTCATATCTATTTAGTATTTGTTAAATACCAAAACTGAAAGCAGTATTGACTACAATTAATTGTTATTTTAGGGTCTGAGATGTTGTCCTGGTGAAGTTCTCTAGTATCCTGGAATTTTTAAAAATCCAGTTTTTAGGATTCTGGTAGTAGGATTCTGGCAATACCTTGACCATGGAGACAGGTAACTTTGTTTTTCAGCAGATTGTGCTCAGGTGGGTTGGTGCCCTTGTCTCTGTGTGCATGGAGTTAATGTATGGTAACAATACAAATAGTTGAAGTTCTGGGAAGCAGAGAAGGTACCTCATCTTTGCTATCTGGAGTTAATAGAAGAGGCCTCAAAGAGATGGTGTGCTCTTACCCACTCCTTACAGATGAAGTTGAGTTTGCACAGGCAGAAAGTCGAAGCATGGATGTTAGGGGAGAGATGCTGAGGATGTCCAGCATAGGAAATTTGTGAGATAGTGTAGACAGCAACAAATCCAAGTTGCCCGACTGAGCCACATAACACCCTGGAGTTGGTAGATGGAGTAAGGATGTAGAGTAGTATCAGAAGCATCTTTGGCAACAAGCTGACAGTATAATTTATCTTGTGTATTTTTTTTTTTTTTTTGTACCAGGGATCAAACCTAGGGACTCTTAACCACTGAGCCGAATCTCCAGCCTTTTTTTATATTTTATTTAGAAGCAGAGTCTCACTGATTTGCTAAGTGCCTTGCTAATCTGCTGAGGCTGGCTTTGAACTCACAATCCTTCTGTGCCTCAGCCTCCCAAGTTGCTGGGGTTACAGCCGTGCCCCACCACACTGGCTATCTTGTATATTTTTTAACAGCAGAAAGAACATACAAAATTTATTACATACCTAAGGCCTAGGAGTATTATCAAATGTTCATGTATTTTTGAGCAAATTTGGGGCCAATCTGAATAGGAGAAAGGTTGAGCATCCCCTCAACTGAAACATTTGGATTTGTCTACTGATCTCTTCCTTGAAAACTCTTAATACAAAATAAAACTTTTTGATGCTATACAAACTTGGATCTAACATAATTTAAATGATATTCCCCAAAATGGATTTTCCATTGAAAAAACTCAGCTGCAAATTGGAAGTCTCCAAGGAACTCTGTCTCCAGTCCTGTTTTAGGTGTTCACATTTCAGCCCTCTCCTATCAAATCTTACCATCTTGTGTCTAATTCTCCCAAGGCTTGCCAGCTTCCTGGTTCACTTGTCTCAAATAATTTGTATTCAATTAAGAATTAAATACTGATAATGCATAGGACTTATACAATTATGTGAAGAGGAAATCTAAGGAAAAGTTGTTCAACTGTAAATGAAAGAATACAAATGTGTAGTTTTTCAAGTAACAAACAAAAGAAAAAAAGAATGAAAATTATAGAATCTGAGAGACTTTAATGAAATGTATGGGCTCATGAACATTTTAAAAGACTCTAAAATGATGTGTATATTTATGGACATGAAAGAATGCTCACTAACTTCTATGCCCTATGGCCCTTGTGATGCCATTAATGTAAAGTTAGTTAATGTAAAGATCTAGAATGGTGGTCAGAAATATCATCCATGATGTCATCTGGTTGGAAACACTTTGAATGATTTTACTTTCTTCTTTTTTATTGTTTTTGAAATCACAAGAGTTGAATTCTGTATTTTTAACTTATTAACTAATACTATCAGAGTGTATTTTATGTGCTGGCACTTCACTGATTGCTGTACACGATTATTCCTGAAGAAAACAAAGGTGATAAGAGATTAAGGAATTCACCCAAGGTCCACTCTAGGAATTGATGGAGCTGGGATTCAAAACCTGGTAGTGCTGCTCCACAGACTGGGCTCTTACTACACTAATTGCCAAATAGGATCAAATTAACTTAAATCCTGCCCCCTCAAAGGCCTACTCCCTTGCTCAAAAGTAACTATGGGTAATAGGTCCTTCAAAAACTTTTGCTAGGCATTTTCAGACGTGTGTGTGTGTGTTTTTCTTTTTCATAAAATGGGGTGGATATGTCCCATCTATCAGTATGTATAATTCACTCTCATGATTTTTATTTACCTCTGGAGGGCATTCTGCAGTATGGATGTGTGGAATTGATGGAACCATGCTTCTGCTGAAAAACTGGTGTGTGTGTGTGTGTAGAGCTAATGTTTGGTATATGCCTACCACAATGCAAATAGTTGAAGTTCTGGTGGGCAGAGAGGTTTTTTCCAGTATTTTCTTCCTAACAGATAAAGTTACAGTGAACACTTTGTATGCATATTACTGGATATAGATGTGCAATTGAAGTCCTGTGATAATCTCCTGGAAACAGAACCGATGGGTCAAAAGGCATGCACACAAAGTGGAAAGAAGCTTCCCACATCAAGAAGACCATGCCAGGGGCTGGGGATGTTCCCCGGTTAGTGTGAAGTGCTGATCACGATCCCCAGCACAACAAAATAAAATAAAATAAAAAGGCTGTGCCATTACACCTGCAGCCCATGAGTGGCCCTGTCCTCATATGTTCACCAACATAAGAAGTTGTCCGGGGCTGGGGATGTGGCTCAAGCAGTAGCGCATTCACCTGGCATGCGTGCAGCCTGGGTTCAACCCTCAGGACCACATACAAACAAAGATGTTGTGTCCGCCAAGAACCGAAAAATAAATATTAAAAAAAAATCTCTCTCTGTTTTAATTCTTATGAGAAATGAAAGAATGTTAGTTCATTTGTAATAATTTAGAAGCTCTTGATTACTAGTGAAGTTGAACATCTTTTCATTTGTTTCTTGGTCACCTTCTTTTTATTGGATAATTTGTGTTTTTCTTATTAATTTGGAGGATCTCTATTATAGATATTGTCTTTTTTTTTTTTGATACTGGGGATTGAACTCAGGGGTGCTCAACCACTGAGCCACATCCCAGGCCTATTTTGTATTTTTATGAGAGACAGCGTTGCTTAGTGCCTCACAGTTGCGGAGGCTTGGCTTTGGACTCACAACCCTCCTGTCTCAGCCTCCCGAGCTGCTGGGATTACAGGCATGTGCCACCATGCTCTACTAGATATTGTCTTTTTTAATATTTATTTTTTAGTTTTAGGTGGACACTATATCTTTATTTTATTTTTATGTGGTGTTGAGGATCAAACCTAGTGTCTCATGCATGCTAGGTGAGCACTCTACCACTGAGCCACAACCCCAGCCTCTAGGTATTGTCTTTTGATGTTCTGTTTGACACAAATGTTTTCCCCAGGGCATTTTTTTTTCTTCAAACTAGCTTATTTTTTATATTGAAGTTTGGTTGTATTTATTTTATTTTTATGTAATCAAATCTGTCAATATTTTTCCTTTTTGGTTTTATATCTTGTTTAGAATGTCTTTTCCACAATATCTACCAAGAATATAATGCTCTCCTAACCCTCTCTTCTTGTACATCTACGTTTTTGATTATACATTTATTTCTATATTTTAATATTAATGAAGAATTTGATTTTGTTCAGTGAAAAGGAGAGATTTATTATTTTTTTATTTTTAGGCTGGTCAACTTTAAAACAACTCCTTCATCTAAACCCAAGTTCTGTTTCTAGACTGTTCCTTTCATCCCTTTTTCTATATTTGACCTAGGATCACATTGTTTAGTTACTTATGCTTTTCACCAGCAAGTTTTTGTATCTGCTAAGGTATGTCCCATCCCCATTTCTTGTCTTTTTAAAACTTTCCCCAACCCTCCCCAGGCATTTACTTTTTCTGAGTAACTTCAGAACTAGATAGTTAAGGTCCAAAAATACTCCTTTGAGATTTCAGTTGGGGCAGATAGAATCTTCTGCTAATTGGAGTCTGTAGCCTGGACACCTAGATCCCTTGGCAGTTCTCTAGGCTGTCCAGAGCTGCCCTCTGATGGGGAAAGACAGGAGGTGCTGCCTCTACCTGCTCTCCAGGGTCTTCCCACTCCACCATCTCCATGAAACTTGTGATTTCCAGTCTTCATGGAAGCACGCATTCCTGGTTAGTTATTTCCTTCTCTAAGTGACATTTGGACTTTAATCTGAACTTTCAGAGCCAAAACCCAGAATGAAAAATTTTGGAAACCTCAGACCCTGCAGCAGAACCCAGAAGGAAATACTTTTGTCAAGGAACAATTTCCTTCTCCCAGAACGCCACACTGACCTGCCTAGGGTAAAACAGGTTCCAGTTGAGACTTAAAAAACAAACAAAATTAACAATATTGTTATAAAATAACCTAAATGTATCAAATTTTAAGTGTATAGGTAAATAAGTTTTAGTTAATGTCGAGTTGTGCAGTCATCACCATATTTCAATTTTTAAAACACTTTCATTACCCCCAAAAGATTCCTCAAGCTTATTCAAGGTCATTCTCTGGATGCAACCTTGTCCTTAGCATGACAGCATCAGGAGGTGTGGGGACAGTGAAGGGATCCCCAAGAGAGCCTCCATTCATGAGTCTACAGCCAGTGCTCCCAACAACATGGGCCCAGAGACCTACATACTCCTGGGGATACCCAGGTGGGGCCTCTTCCTGGGGGACTGGCCATGCTGAGCCCCATCCTTACCCCTTCCAGGTGGATAAAGTTTGAAGAAAAGGTAGAGGAAGGAGGCGAACGCTGGAGCAAGCCCCATGTGTCCACGCTGTCCCTGCACAGCCTCTTCGAGCTCCGTACCTGCCTGCAGACGGGGACAGTGCTGCTGGATCTGGAGAGCGGCTCCTTACCACAGATCATAGGTGAGGTGGGGGCCACCACAACATCTCTCCTGGGGTCCCTACAAACCAGGGCAGCTCTTCCTGCCTTGTGCCCATCTTCAAGTCTTGTGACTGGCTTATCCCTGACACCTGCCTGATTCTACAGAGACCAGCTTTGGCTGTGATGTCCCCCAGTCAGCATCCCAGCTCCTCCAAGTTTCAGCTCCATGTATATCTCCCTCAGGGAGGAAAAGATCATCCTCTGAAATGCTGTCCAGGAATGCAGCAATAAGAGAGAGTACTTCTACCATGGTCAGACAAGTATGGCCATGACAACCTGTTTCTTTTCAGGGTAAAATGGATCATTGTTCATCTGTAGGAAATTAGCTGCCACTTAGAGGAGTGTCAGAAGGAAGAAGTGGCTTGCCTTATCCTCCCTAAAATGTCTATGTGTTTTGCTGTAGCACATTTGATTTTGCCAGAAGTATTTTGCCCAAAATGCTTTTCTTAAAAAATCCATTTTAGGACTAAAACTATTTAATAACAGTACTTTGTGCTTCCTGGGACACTTCCATATGTTCTATTTCATGGGATTTTCATAACACTGACAGAAAGATAGATGCTTCTATATACACATGCACAAACACAGAGACAGGCACATGCTCTTGTACATGAAGAGACTGTTTGTGATGTGCCCAGGTTTCCACAGTTAGTGGCAAGGCTGGGACAATTTCCACATCCCCTGTCACCTTTAGCTCACTTTCAGTCCCACTAATAACAGGAGAAATTGAAGACCCTCACCTTGGGTCCATTCTGTCCCACATGGACCGGGCATGTTCGTTTCCCACTCAGATGATGTCATTGAGAAGCAGATTGAGGATGGGCTCCTGCGACCAGAGCTCCGGGAAAGGGTCAGTTATGTCCTCCTGAGGAAGCATCGTCACCAAACCAAGAAGCCCATCCACCGCTCCTTAGTGGACATTGGAAAGTCAGTCTCTTCCACCTCAAGTAAGTTGGGCTCTCCACTGCTAGCCATTGGGTATATGAGGACAGTATCAGGCCCCAGTGCCCAGGTGAGCCCATCTTGGTGACTAGGAATATCTGCCTTCATGACCTGGAGAAATTCTGCTGTTGGGGATCCCTCATCTTCCTTCTCTGGTAGGCTTCTGAGGACTCCAGTTGCACCCTAATGTGACTTTATCACCAGAGCAGAGCAATTCCAGGAAGAGAGTTGGTTCTCGGCCTATTTTGCATACTACAATCACTTGGGATGTTGGATCTTGTCCTAATGCCTGGTCCCTGGCCTGGAGAGTGGGATTCAGTTGGTCTGGAGCATGGCCTGGGAGAGAGAAGAATGTTAGAAAAGTGCCCAGGAGATCCTCCCATGCACACAGTACTGAGGAATGCTGATAGGATGGCTTGTTTAGGAAAGGACCTGAGAGTTTCCCACTGAGCTCCCAAGAGGAGCTAAGAGCCTTAGCGGGAAATGTCACACATGGGGGTTTGTTAGAAGTGGCTGGGTTTGCCTCAAAGGTTCCAGGACTTACATGCCTGGCAGCTGGTATCATTCTGATTAGCAGAGCCTCAGGCCTGGGAAAGAGGATTGTCTATCTCCAGCCCTCTGTTCAGTATCTCAGTAGAGATGCCCAGAGACACTGACCCTCCTGAACCTGTCAGATAAATGCAGGAACCAGAACAAAGTTGATAAAGTTGCTAATAAAAACCCTTCAGGACTGGGTGATGTGGTGCACACCTGTAATCCCAGCAACTCAGGAGATTGAAGCAGGAGGACTGCAACTTTGAGGCCAGCCTCAACAATTTGCTGAGACCCTCAGCAACCTAGCAAGACCCTGTCCCAAAATAAATGAGAGCAGGGGAAGTGGCTCAATGATAAAAGACTCCTGGGTTCGACTCCCAGCACCAAAAAAAAAAAGAAAGAAAGAAAAGAAAAAGACAGCAAATCCTTAAAGAATCTCTTAAATGAATTATGTAAAATCAGGAAAGTGTTTAGCATATCAGTATAACAGCAGCTACATACTCAGCACTTTCCATGTTCCAGGCAGTGTTGGGAGTGCTTCCTCCTCTGTGAACTCATTCCATTCTCACAATGACTTGTAGCATAGGTGCTGTTCTCATCCCCAGATGAACTGCCTGAGGCAGAGAGTTTAGATAACTTGCCATAGGTCACCCAGCCAGTAAGCGGTGAACTCAGGCATGAGTCCAGGTAGTCTACTATACCTGGCACCAGTTTAATCAATTGTCTATCACTTTCAACAGTGCAAATATTTCCTCTGTAATCTTGTTCAGACCATTAACTGACTTCTGGAAAGGAAAAGGACACACTTGTGCAGCAAGCTTTATTTAGTTGAAGTAACTGTACAGGAATAGCCTGCTAATCGGAAAGACTGCACTGTGCAAGCCTTCCAGAACCAAGTGTCTTCTTCTTGCCCCAGATCGCAGTCCTGCCCGGAGCCCTGCAGCTGGCTCAAGTCTACACCGCTCCACTGAGGACCTGAGGATGAGACAGAGCACAAATTATGGACATCTGCGTGAGTGTGTCCTCTACCACTCAGTGACAGCTTCGTTCTGATCATGACAGCTATGGAATGTCCATGTTTTCATAGATGGAGGAGGTGGAGGACAGGATCTATCTAGAATTCTCAGAACATGTACCAGGAGTAATTGAACTTTTACTCTAATTTGGGTTGTTCTGAGGGTCTGATTGACTCCTACAACTATTCCAAATAATTCCTCTGAACAATGGAGCTCAAAGTCAATCCCTGGCATAACTGATACCAACCCTGTGTTCTAGGCATGTTTCTCTTAGTCTAAACCTTGTTTTCATCAAAACGATGACTTGCCCTGTTTTCTGGTGAAAAGTCTTCCTAGAAATGGAATTAAAAACAGGTGAAATCCTTTACCCGCAGGTCAATTAGACAGCATTTCCATCCCTGATGACAATCTTTCCAACAGGAAAAAGAAATGTGGGCAGAGTTGTTGCCTTTTATTTGCTATGAATGGATTAGGGGGTTTGCGAGGTGAAAGGTCACTGACAGGTGATGATCAGGTGAGCTATGAGAAAAGAGAGAACTTAGAAAATGAAGAGAAAAACAAAAAGCAATGTGGCATATTTTCCTTCAACTACTTTTACTAAAATTCTGACATTTGAACAGGTGCAGCCCAAGACTGTGCCACTGACCAGGTTGGAGGAATGACTTGGGGACCATGTGCCTCTGCCCATGGCCTCTGCTACTGAATGCTCATTTTTTCTTTGTACCAATGCCTGAGTCCCAAGTCTCCCACCCTGTTATTCCACATAAGGCTGCTAGGGGACAGTGGGTCAGTACACAGAATGGGGATTGGGCAGACCTTCCCTTCATTATCATGGGAATGCCATGCCTCCCTGCTTCCTGGTGGGAACCCCAACAACAGGCTTGAGTAAGTGACTACAGGTTTGTGTGAACTGTGTCATAGTCAAGGTGTGCACCCCACCCCATGACCACCCACTGAATGGGCCACAATGGAGAAACCTCAGTGAGGAGGGAACACACAACTGAGTCTTGGAGATAAGCAGGTTTCCAGAAACAAGGGGGAGGAAGAGGCTGTTCTAAAACAAAGACACAAACAGCAGGCAAAGGGAAGGAGCTATCAAGGGAAAGAACACTGGTTCAGTTCACCAGGCGCATAAGGGTTGGGGAAGAGAATGTCAAATCAAACAGGGCCTTGTGTGCCCAGAAAAAGTACCCAGACATCATTCTGAAGGTAATGGGGACCACTACAAAGCTCAAAGCAGGAGCAGGCCATAATCAGAATTTTATCTGAGAAGAATAAACAAGAAATGGGCAAGACTGAAAGCAAGAGACTGAGCCGGCATTCAGGAATACAGAGGAACGGACCAAGGTGGCATATAACCACCTGTGGGAGTAGGAGAGGAAGAAGAGGGAATAGCCACAGCTGGCTCCTAGGTTCCTCTCTGAGTGACCGGTAGGCGAGAGGGAGGAGGCATTGAATGGAATTGAGCCTGTGGGGAGAATAGTTTGGTGGGAGATAATGAGTTGAGTTTGAGGTGCAAGATGAGGCTGCTCTAGTGAGTCTGGAGTTCAGAAAAGAAATGGGACTGGAGATTTATCCTCAGTGTCATCAGGCCAGATTTGCAGTAGGAACACCAGCAGTGAATATGATTGGCCAGGGAGGGAGAGGTGAGGCCTCTAAGGGCCTCTTGACAAGACAAGACCCCGAGGCAAGTCAAGAAGGAGAGGATCCTGGGATGGAAACAAGAGAACAATGTTCTGGAAGCAAAAAGTGATCATAGGCCAAAATCAAGAAATTCTAGATCTGAGAGGGTCCACTGGATTGGCTGCTTGTGGGAAATGAAAACTGATTCCCAGAGGAAGGAACTCTTGGCAGTTCAGATGATACTTTGACTGTTGGAAGCCTATCTTCCTTCCCTCTTTCAGCCCCTCTCCAAACACTGTCATTGGTCATGGAGGATGGAGGTGAAACGAGTCTCTCTGGCTGACGTATTTTAAGCTTAGTGACATCTGGCTCCTCACCTAAAAGTGCATCTCTGTACCTTCTCACATCTGGAACAGACATCTTAGTTAAGTCCAAGAAGTTGAAGCCAAGAGGTAGAGACCAGAGTGAAGTAGATTCAGAAGTGAAAAGGAAGAAGAGGAACCAAGAGTCTAGTTATTCTTTCAAGAAAGTCACCAGTGAAGGGAAATAGAGTGAGAGGATGTTAGCTTAAGGGGGCTTCAGGATTAAGGGGAGGAGTTCTTATTTATCTTATGAACATGGGAAAGGAAGGAGTAGGAGCCAAGGGAAAAGGACCTGCAAGATCCTGGCTTCCTCTAATGACCTTCTTTTCCTTTTCTCCTAGGTCACGCCCAGAGCAGAAGTATGAATGACATCTCTCACACCCCAAACACAGACCAGGTAGAAAAGCCCCTCAGCTTGGCTGCAGAAGGGCTGGGCAGGCAGATCCTTTGGGTTTCTTTCAGGGGCAGAGAGCTCCTAGGGGAACAACAAAGGAGTGGCTGTCCCCAGGAAGTACTCTTGAGGAGGACTCTGGGCTGCCTTGGTGACAGCCTTGCCCATGAGTCAGGTACTGACTGAATTTGCAGTGCTGGCTCTGTTCCAGGCCGCGTGGCCAGGAGTGGGGGACAGATGAGGTACCAGCTGTCCCTGAACTCTGGATTTGCTGGAGAGAGGACACAGCAAGAACATATAGCTTCACCTTCACCTCATGTACCACTTGTACCTTTAAAGATGGGACAGGAATTGAGAATGGCAGAGAGGAGAAAGGGGAGTCTCCCCATGGAGGAAATGATGATAGCTAATTAATTGGACTGTCCAATGGTGTATCTTCTTTCTTAGCGAGGGCAGGAGAACATTGACCTAGTCTCCCACAAGCTGGGCTGCTTGATGAGATCAGAATACCACAAAAGGCTGAGTCCAAGTCCTAAGGCCCACAGCCAGGAACTCAGGGACCTTACCACCGGGGGGAGCTCACAGGAGGACCCCTCAATCCTGACCTCTGTGTATCTTAAGGGCAGGATGTCCTGTGCCCCAGAATAAGTAAGGAAGGTGACAAAGAAAACTGAAACAAACTCCCTGAGGAAGGGGATTCTGAACTGCCTTGGTGACTCTGCCTAATCCATCAGTCAGGTACTGACTGAGTCTGGCTAGAGTGCTGCCCCTTCAAGGCACCCCCAAGTCTGGTGGAAATCAAAACAAAAGCAGTCCTCATATCCAAAATACTAAAATAATAACAATAACATGAACCAACATTGAGGGTCCATATACAGCATGTACTACACTGAGACTAGCATTTTCTGTGCATCATGAAGGCAACACCATCATCCCCATTTGACCTATGAGAGAACATTGAGGCTGGACATGGTTAAATAACATGTCCAGGGCCATATTGCCAAGAGGTGGCAGAACCATGACCTGACCCAGACAGTCTGACTTTAGAGTGCTTACTTGGGAACAATTTAGAAAGCAGTCAGTCTCCTGAAATATTATTTGAAGAGGAACACCACTTCATTATAGTCATGCACACTGACAATGGAGTAGGATAAGAAAGCATTACCTAGAAAAATCTTTCATAACTTATTTTAGTAAAAGTCTCAGTGGAGTTAAGAATACTAGCTGTCACTGTACCAGGCAATGCTTTGATTTAAGGATTGGAACTTAGCACCTGATACCAGCATGTTTCTCCTGACTGGCACCTGATGCTGCTTCTCAATATTTGTGACATCAGTGCTTGGTACCCCTTTATCTACTCTTTAGGTGTGAGCCCAGAGGCATTGACCCTACACTCTTTCTCCATCATTGGTTTTGCAGGGTTAAGCTCCATGCTCACCTCCAGCTGGTGGGTTCCACATCTCCCCCTGCTGCCGACCCTGTACTGCAGGACTAGGCCAGAGCCTTCTGGTTCAGGAAGTAGGGTCCCATGGATCCCTGGTTGGACAAGCTTGTATAGGCTGTAGCCAAGTCAGTGTGACCAGAAAACCAGTATGACTCCATTTCTGTGTTGCCACTACCCTGATTTCCTGATCAAATGTGTCACAACCTGCAAGAAAAGACCAAGGCCCTGTTTTCAATTCCTCTTCTTTTCTAGATTACAAGTGGGTGTGTTGGGCCACTCTGTTGTGGTGTTGCTCTCAAAGCCTCATTCTCCAGGGTGCTCCTACCCACCCCAACTCTTCTTTTCTCCCCTGGACTCCTTCTCCTCCCCCACCTCCCTCTCTTCTACCAGTCTGATGCTTGGGGGTTTGGGTGCTGGCATGGGGACAATGGGTTTCCTGGCACACCCAGCCTTCCATCCTAAAGAGCACTGCTTATTAATCAGCTGACTGTGCCTGAGACAAAGAGATTTTTTGAGTATTAGGGACTCTGGCCTTCCCATCAACTCCTGCCCTTGCTTATTCTCACCATGTTAGGATCCTCAGGACTGTTGCTGATTGCCTGGGAAGTTGTAGAGGTTTGTTTTCTTTCCCATTGAATTTAAAAGATTATAAGGGTGCAGGCCTTGTTCACGTGTTCTTCCTTGTGTTGGTGGACCACCCTATCCAGTGTGTATCATACCCTCCAAGAACTAAATCAGGAAACAATTGGCATAGAGGGGAAGGACCTGTTGGCCATGTCCATGCCCACAACTGACCCCTCTACTGGTACAAGAAGAGACACAGGGGACCTGTGTCTTCACTGAGCCTAACAAGAAACAGATATTACTGTGCCCACTGGAGATATTCCAACAGAGAGTAGACTGGAGGGCAATCATGATGTCCACAGAAGCTCCCTTCAACCCTGGCCTCCACCTGAAGGTGCTGGCCTCCACTCTGTCTGCCACTGTAGACTGAAACCAGCCTTGCCCTCCCTCTCCTTCCTCCTACAATATCACCTCTGCCTCTTATCCATCCCCTTACTGCCCAATGAGTAGGCAATCTGAAAAAGTAATTTATTTTAGGATAAGGAGTAAGAAGAGTTTGTATGTGACTGTCCCTGGGGCATTCGTATCATAAGAGGACTCAGGGGAAATACAGTCATAAACAGAGAGAGTGGGAACAATACCTGGCATATCCGACCCTATCACTGTATTTTATCTTCCTGCCCTGGACAGACACTAATCAGAGAGACTCCCCAGTCCCAGGCCACCTTGAGAGTCTCACCTGGAAAGTTGCAGAAGTTATGAGTTTCCTAGGAGGTCCTGTGGTGATCAACCTGGGACAACTGCAGACTTAGAGAATGGTCACCAGTCTTCCTGTGACCAGGAAGCATGTAATGAGGGGAAAATTAAGCCATTCCATGCTGACCATCAAAACAGGCCTCACCCACCCTCTACCACCAAAGGTGAAGCAGAGAGGAGAGGTCTGGTCAGCTGGACTGTAAATGCTGAGATTCCCATCTGCTTGGACAAAGGAGGTTGTCCAACAGATCTCAGGGCTCTCTTCTCAACCCCTTGACCCACACTGCAGTTAATCAGTCTTCTCCCATCAAAGAATACTTCAAGGGTCAAGTCACTATCTGTATTTTCCCATCTGCAAAGACTTAATTGGTCTCTGGGGTTAACCACTATTCAGTCCCTCATCTGCAGAATCAAGGAAAGTGTTTGATTATTTCTTTTAGTCTTTTGAGAAGTACTGGGAAATTTTTTTAAGTTAGGCTCCCAATGAGGGAGGAAGAGCATGTGGAACATTCTTGGGTATCTCATTTCCCCCTCCCTGAGCAGCGGAAAAACAAATTCATGAAGAAGATCCCCAAGGACTCAGAAGCCTCCAATGTACTTGTGGGTGAGGTGGACTTCCTGGATCAGCCATTCATTGCATTTGTGCGTCTCATCCAGTCTGCCATGCTAGGTGGAGTGACCGAGGTGCCCGTCCCTACCAGGTGAGAGAGAGCCTCAGAAACCTGCCACCATGCCAGTCCTGAGAGTGCCAGCTGTCTGTGTGTTCAGCAATCTGTGCTTATAGGGACACCCCTAAATGTAGATATTTGCTGGAAAAGAATTTTATAGTTTATTCAAAAGAATCATAGAAGAGAAGGCGGCAAGAGAAGAGGGAGAAGCACTTGGGTGGGCTCGGGCAGCAAGACAAAGGTGAGGATGCTCCAGGGGGAGCTTAGTGCAAGCGAAAGAGGAATGTTTCTCCAACAAAAAGATTCAAAGGAGGGAAGCTAGGGGCTGGGGTGTAGCTCAGCAGCAGAGCACTTACTTGCCTAGCATGCATGAGGCCCTGAGTTCAATCCCCAGTACTGCAACATACACAAAAAAGGAGAGAATTCAAAAATTTAGCAATGGATACTACCAAAGAATCCTTCTCTTCAACTTGATCCTATTTTTCTTTCTCATTTTTCTCCTCCTCCTTATACTTCATCTTCTTTGCAGATTTCTGTTCATACTGCTGGGACCTTCTGGGAGAGCAAAATCCTACAATGAAATTGGCCGTGCCATTGCAACCCTGATGGTAGATGATGTAAGTGGTGACTCCTGAATGTCATAGCTCCTGCACCAGCACTGTTCCTTCATTCACTGAGTCATCTAACAGGCACATTTGAGCACCTACTGTATACCAGACCCTGTGCGGGATACTGAAGATTATGAGATTCAGGGAATAGTCAATGGGTCCTTTAGAAGCACCTATCAAGTGGGAAGGACACAGTTATAATAATAAAATTAACCATGTGCTAGCTGCCTAGGCAGTCAAGGAGGGCTTCACAGATGAAGAAGCTGTATAACTCAGATGAGCAGGAAGTAGGTGGCCCAGTACCAGTCTAGAAGACAAACCCTCCCAACGAAAGGAACAGGGATCAAGGCTCAAAGAAGCTGGATGGAAGTGATCCAATACAGTCTCAGTATAAGAACTTTGAGGACAGGAAGTGATACCAGAGAGGTGAGTCAGAGATTATGCAGAAATTGTGAGCAGATTCTAGAGTTCATGAACTCTGTCCCCAGAGTGATAGGCTGCCCAGAGGACTTTCCACATTGGCATAATCTGTAAGTCAGACAGCATGCTCTGGAGACAGCAGGCAACCTGACCCTCTAAGAGTGAAGGGCTAGAAAGTAATATATGGATTTGAAATATGAGCGTCTTGGACTGGACTTTAGGTTTTCTAATGTGCTCCTCTGTGGAAAACTGAATCCAGAAGTGTTCAGCAATTCAACCAAAGCCCTATAGAAGGAATATGGAAACCTGGGCTTTGGATAGCAAATAGGCTGTCTTGCCTTGGTGCTGGCTCTAATTGGGTCCTATTTTCCCCCTGGTACTGTGTTCTCACCCACCACAAACTAAGTAAGTTGGCAGTGGGAGCAGCAATTGAAAGTGATTCCATTGCAGCTAGCTGTGATGTGCTCAGGAAGGTGGAGAAGAAGGGAATGTCAAAAAGAGAGCTGACCCCTTTTTTGTCCCTTGATCCTTGCCAGCTCTTCAGTGATGTGGCTTATAAAGCCCGCAATCGCGAGGATCTGATTGCAGGAATTGATGAGTTTTTGGATGAGGTCATTGTTCTTCCCCCTGGAGAATGGGACCCAAATATCCGAATTGAGCCACCCAAGAAAGTGACCTCTGCTGACAAAAGGTGTGTATATGAGTGGAAGGGATGGGGATGAGGAGATGAGGGAAAGCAATTTTGTTGGTATCATTTTGTTTCTCTTTGTAAAAAATCAGAGATAAATATGGCTAAATGTGAACATTTGTAAAATTGGGGTGACCTCTGTGTGGGTATTGTTAGAGCACTTTCTGCATTTTCCCATCTTTTGAGATATTTATTGAAGACGTGAAGATGTTCCAGGGACAGTCCTGAAGGGCTGGGACTCTCCTAGCATTGGAAACCCCACTCGTTCCCATCCCTCTTCTTCTTTTTTTTTAAATTTTTTTTTTGAATTACATTTTTATTTAATTGCTCTTTATTTGTCAGTGGTATGATTTCAGATATTTGTGCAGCCATTTGTTGATGCTGTTTAATGTCTAATACAATCTCTTATTTAAAGTTGATATTCCAGTTGGGTATGGTGACGCATTCTCATTCCTGTAATCCCAGAAGCTCTGGAGGCCAAGGCAGAAGGATCCCAAGTTCAAAGCCAGTCTCAGCAATTTAGCAAAGCTCTAAGCAATTTAGTAAGACTCTGCCTCAAAATAAAAAAATAAAAAGGGCTGGGAATGTGACTCAATAGTTAAGTGCCCATGGATTTAATACCTAGTACCATTAAATAAATAAATTTTATTTATTTATTTTTCATGTATTCAAACTATATTTTTTATTGGTTGTTCAAAACATTTATTGTTCAAAACATTTATTTTTATTGGTTGTTCAAAACAAAGCTCATGACATATCATCTTTCATACATTTGATTCAAGTGAGTTATGAACTCCCATTTTTACCCCAAATACAAATTGCAGAATCACATCAGTTACACATTCACAACTTTTACATAATGCCATATTAGTGACTTGTATTCTGCTGCCTTTCCTATCCCCTACTATCCCCCCTCCCCTCCTCTCTCATCTTCCCTCTCTACCTCATCTGCTGTTGTTTAATTCTCTCCCTTGTTTCCCCCCCGTTTCCCCTCACAACCTCTTATATGTAATTTTGTGTAACATTGAGGGTCTCCTACCATTTCCATATGCTTCCCCTTCTCTCTCCCTTTCTCTCCCCCCCACTTGTCTCTGTTTAATGTTAATCTTTTCCTCATGCTCTTCCTCCCTGTTCTGTTCTTAGTTGCTCTCTTTATATCAAAGAAGACATTTGGCATTTGATTTTTAAGGATTGGCTAGCTTCGCTTAGCATAATCTGTTCTAATGCCATCCATTTCCCTGCAAATTCTATGATTTTGTCATTTTTTAGTGCTGCATAATACTCCATTGTGTATAGATGCCACATTTTTTTTTATCCATTCATCTATTGAAGGGCATCTAGGTTGGTTCCACAGTCTAGCTATTGTGAATTGTGCCGCTATGATCATTGATGTGGCAGTATCCCTATAGTACACTCTTTTAAGGTCCTCAGGGAATAGTCCGAGAAGGGCGATAGCTGGGTCAAATGGTGGATCCATTCCCAGCTTTCCCAGGAATCTCCATATTGCTTTCCAAATTGGCCTCACCAATTTGCAGTCCCACCAGCAGTGTACAAGTGTACCCTTTTCCCCACATCCTTGCCAACACTTATTGTTGTTTGACTTCATAATGGCTGCCAATCTTACTGGAGTGAGATGGTATCTTAGGGTGGTTTTGATTTGCATTTCTCTGGCTGCTAGAGATGGTGAGCATTTTTTCATGTACTTGTTGATTGATTGTATGTCCTCCTCTGTGAAGTGTCTGTTCAGGTCCTTGGCCCATTTGTTGATTGGGTTATTTGTTATCTTATTGTTTAATTTTTTGAGTTCTTTGTATATTCTGGATATTAGGGCTCTATCTGAAGTGTGAGGGGTAAAAATTTGTTCCCAGGATGTAGGCTCTCTATTTACCTCTCTTATTGTTTCTCTTGCTGAGAAAAAACTTTTTAGTTTAAGTAAGTCCCATTTGTTTATTCTTGTTATTAACTCTTGGGCTATGGGCGTCCTATTAAGGAATTTGGAGCCCGACCCCACAGTATGTAGATCGTAGCCAACTTTTTCTTCTATCAGACGCAGTGTCTCTGATTTGATATCTAGGTCCTTGATCCATTTTGAGTTAACTTTTGTGCATGGCGAGAGAAAGGGATTCAGTTTCATTTTGTTGCATATGGATTTCCAATTTTCCCAGCACCATTTGTTGAAGATGCTATCCTTCCTCCATTTCATGCTTTTAGCCCCTTTATCAAATGTAAGAAAGTTGTACTTTTGTGGATTGGTTTCTGTGTCCTCTATTCTGTACCATTGGCCCACCTGCCTGTTTTGGAACCAGTACCACGCTGTTTTTGTTACTATTGCTCTGTAGTACAGTTTGAACTCTGGTATTGCTATACCTCCAGATTCACACTTCCTGCTTAGAGTTGTTTTTGCTATTCTGGGTCTTTTGTTTTTCCATATGAATTTCATGATTGCTTTATCTATTTCTACAAGAAATGCCATTGGGATTTTGATTGGCATCGCATTAAACCTGTAGAGAACTTTTGGTAATATCGCCATTTTGATGATGTTAGTTCTGCCTATCCATGAACAGGGTACATTTTTCCATCTTCTAAGATCTTCTTCTATCTCTCTCTTTAGGGTTCTGTAGTTTTCATTGTATAAATCTTTCATCTCTTTTGTTAGGTTGATTCCCAAGTATCTTATTTTCTTTGAGGATATTGTGAATGGAGTGGTTTTCCTCATTTCCATTTCAGAAGTTTTGTTGCTGATATACAGGAATGCCTTTGATTTATGCGTGTTGATTTTATATCCTGCCACTTTGCTGAATTCATTTATTAACTCTAGCAGTTTCTTTGTAGACCCTTTTGGGTCTGTTAAATATATTATCATGTCATCCGCAAATAGCAATAATTTAAGTTCTTCTTTTCCTATTTTTATGCCTTTAATTTCTTTTGTCTGTCTAATTGCTCTGGCTAGTATTTCAAGAACTAAATTGAATAGAAGTGGTGATAGAGGGCATCCCTGTCTTGTTCCAGATTTTAGAGGGAATGCCTTCAGTTTTTCTCCATTTAGGATGATGCTAGCCTGAGGTTTAGCATATATAGCTTTTACCATGTTGAGGTAAGTTCCTGTTATCCCTAGTTTTTCTAGTGTTTTGAACATAAAGGGATGCTGTACTTTGTCGAATGCTTTTTCTGCATCTATCGAGATGATCATATGGTTCTTGTCTTTAAGTCTATTGATGTGGTGGATTACATTTATTGATTTCCGCATATTGAACCAGCCTTGCATCCCAGGGATGAATCCTATTTGATCATGATGCACAATTTTTTGACATGCTTTTGTATTCGATTCGCCAGGATTTTATTGAGAATTTTTGCATCCAAGTTCATTAGAGATATTGGTCTGTAGTTTTCTTTCTTTGAAGTGTCTTTGTCTGGTTTCGGGATCAGGGTGATGTTGGCCTCATAGAATGAATTTGGAAGAACTCCTTCTTTTTCTATTTCTTGAAATAGCTTGAAAAGTATTGGTATTAATTCTTCTTTGAAGGTTTTGTAGAACTCCGCTGTATACCCATCCGGTCCAGGGCTTTTTTTGGTTGGTAGTCTTTTGATGGTTTCTTCTATTTCTTCTTTTGTTATTGGTCTGTTTAAATTGTGTGTGTCTTCCTGACTCAATCTGGGTAGATTGTATGACTTAAGAAATTTATCGATATCTTCATTATCTTCTATTTTATTGGAATATAGGGTTTCAAAATACTTTCTAATTATCTTCTGTATTTCTGTAGTGTCTGTTGTGATATTGCCTTTTTCATCCCATATGTTAGTAATTTGAGTTCTCTCTCTTCTTCTCTTCGTTAGCATGGCTAAGGGCCTGTTGATCTTATTTATTTTTTCAAAGAACCAACTTTTAGTTTTTTCAATTTTTTCAATGTTTTTTTTTGTTTCAATTTCATTGATTTCTGCTCTAATTTTAATTATTTCTTGTCTTCTACTACATTTGCTGTTGTTTTGCTCTTCCTTTTCTAGGTTTTTGAGGTGTAGTGTGAGTTCATTTATTTGTTGGTTTTTTTCTTTTTTTGAGGAAAGAACTCCAAGAAATGAATTTCCCTCTTAAAACTGCTTTCATTGTGTCCCATAGATTCCGGTATGTTGTGTCTGTATTGTCATTTGTCTCTAAGAATTTTTTTTATCTCCTCCTTTATGTCTTCTGTAACCCATTGATCATTCAGTAACATATTGTTCATTTTCCATGTGATGTAGGATTTTTCCTTCCTTCTTTTATCATTGATTTCCAGTTTCATTCCATTATGATCAGATATGGTGCATGGTATTATCTCCACACCTTTATATTTACTGAGAGTCGCCCTGTGGCATAATATATGGTCTATCTTTGAGTAGGATCCATGTGCTGCTGAGAAGAACATGTATCCACTTGATGATGGTTGATATATTCTATATATGTCGGTTAAGTCTAGGTTATTGATTGCTTTATTGAGTTTTATAGTTTCTTTGTTCAGCTTTTGTCTAGATGATCTGTCCAATGGCGAGAGCAGTGTGTTGAATTCCCCCATAATTATTGTGTTGTGGTCTATTTGACTCTTGAACTTGAGGAGAGTTTGTTTTATGAACGTTGCAGCATCATTGTTTGGTGCATACAAATTGATAATTGTTATGTCTTGATGGTGGATGGTTCCTTTTAACAGTATATAGTGTCCTTCTTTATCCCTTTTGATTAACTTAGGTTTGAAGTTGATTTTATCCGATATGAGTATGGCCACTCCTGCTTGCTTCTGAAGGCCATGTGAGTGGTATGATTTTTCCCAACCTTTCACCTTCAGCCTGTGTATGTCTTTTCCTATCATATGAGTCTCCTGAAGGCAGCATATTGTTGGATTTGTTTTTTTAATCCAGGTTACTAGCCTATGTCTCTTGATTGGTGAATTTAAGCCATTAACATTTAAGGTTACAATTGAAATATGGTTTGTACTTCCAGTCATGTTTATTTATTTATTTATTTTAGTTTGGCTAGTTTTTCCTCTTTGGTTATTTTTCTCCCCCTTTACTGAGATACCTCCCACTGTTAGTTTTGGGCACTATTTTTCAATTCCTCTTCTTGTAGTATTTTGCTCAAAATGCTTTGCAGTGCTGGTTTTCTGGCTGCGAATTCTTTTAGCTTTTGTTTATCGTGAAAGATTTTAATTTCGTTGTCAAATCTGAAGCTTAATTTTGCTGGATACAGTATTCTTGGTTGGAATCCATTATTTTTCAGGGTTTGAAATACGTTGTTCCAGGATCTTCTCGCTTTCAAAGTCTGTGATGAAAAATCAGTCGTTAACCTAATTGGTTTACCCCTGAATGTAATCTGCCTCCTTTCTCTTGTGGCTTTTAATATTCTCTCCTTGTTCTGTATGTTAGCTATCTTCATAATTATATGTCTTGGAGTTGGTCTATTACGGTTTTGGATGTTTGGGGTCCTGTAGGCTTCCAGGATTTGGCAATCCATTCCATCTTTCATCTCTGGGAAGTTTTCTAGGATTATTTCATTTAATAAGTTCTCCATTCCTTTGGTTTGATCCTCTGTGCCTTCTTCTATCCCAATGACTCTCAAATTTGGTTTTTTTATGAGATCCCATATCTCTTGGATAGATTGCTTGTGAGATTTAAGCATCTTTTCTGTGTTGACTATATTCTTTTCAAGTTGATGAACTTTGTCTTCATTATCTAATGTTCTGACTTCTACTTGATCTAGTCTGTTTGTAATATTCTCGTTAGAGTTTTTAATCTGGTTTATGGTTTCTTGCATTTCTAGGATTACTGTTTGGTTTTTTTTTTTTTTTTTAAATCTCTATCTCCTGGTAAAGCTCGTTCTTTGCAGTTTGAATTTGTTTGTTTAGTTCGTTTTCAAAATATACTTTCAATGCTTGGACTTGCTGTCTCATGTCTTCTCTAATATTCCGTTCCATCTGAGTTAGGTATGCCTTGATTTCTTTCCCTGTCCATGTTTCTGATGCTTCTAGGTCCTCCTGTAGATTTAAGTTGTCCTGCATTGTTTGTAGTCCTTTTTTCCCTTGTTTTTTCATGTTGTTCACATTACTTTCCAGCTGTTTGACTGCTTTGTAACTGCTTTCTCCTATACATTTGTTTTGGCTTTGTATATCTCTGTTGTCTCTCCTTTGTGGTGGGAGATTATGTCTAGAAATGTTGGGCTTTATTGTACTTTAAAGCTGATTCATTCAATTCATAAAAGGCTTCCAGGTTCTGTATGCATATAGTGATTTGTTGTTTGTTCTTAGGACTATATGTTTAGGTTAGGTGCTATGATGGTACGAGGGTTAGTATGTCTTGGCTACTTTAGAAGATTGCTCTACTGAAGGTGGATACTAACAGGCAATTGGATCAGGGTGTTGGTAGTAGCTAGGTATTTAGGAGCCCTATAGACAGCCTTGAGACATTCACCTATTTACATTTAGACAATTACACGTAATGGAAGACGTAATGCTTGGGATGAAAGTTGGGGGGTAGGGGAATGAAGGTGCTCTTAAAAAGAAAGGAGAGAGAGATAGATTAGAGGAGAATGAAAAGAACAATAAAACTTGAAACAGGAAAGAAAGAGAGAAGGAAAAGGGGAGAAAGGAACAGAGAGAGAAGAAGAAAAAAAAATATATTGAAGTCTTAGAGATCCATTTTCTTCTCTTCCAGTAGGCGGAGCTGTGCCCTCCGAGCGGAGCTTCTGCTCTCTACCTGCCCATAGCAATCCCTGTAAGGCGTCTCCTGGGAGTCTCTCAGACTTGTCAGTCCAGAGCCGTTTCACTTCTCCGGCCCTTACCCCCCTTCCTCCTGTCAGCCAGCCAGCCAGGTCCTGTTCACCAGAAACGGTTCCCCAGAAATCTAGTTACACTTGCAGCCCCACCGCGTATCCCATTTAAGCCCCAGTGCTGTGGTAAACTGGCGGCTAATACCTTGGGAGTCACTGCTGGTGATATGGGGGGTTGGGGGTCAGGGATCCCCTCTGTTTCCCTACAGACACGACCCCTGAGAGGTCCATGAAGTTTCCTGGCTGCTTGTATCTGGATGGGGAGGGAGTCACACACCTGCTAAAGTGGATTCTGCTGGGAAGGAATTCTGTCAGCCAAACTCCGATGACGTCACCTCTCTGCTATGGCAGGCCCCAGGCTCCTTGCCGGAGTGTCCAAAGGGAGGGGTGGGACTGGTCCATCCCCGGTTGGCTTCAGCTCCCAGCTCGCTATTTCATGAAGGCTTGGCTAAAGACTTCTTCCTGCCAAGCTGTGTCTCGGAGGCTAGCGGGACCCAGTCACATTTGCTGCTGGCGGACAGGCCGGCAGCCGCGCCACAGCACACGGACTGTGGCTGGCAGATCTGGACCTCTGTGTCTCCTGGCAGGGATTCGCTCGTCTGGGGCAATCTGTCGCTTCAAAAAATCCTAGTAGCTCCCGGCCGGTCTCTCTTCAGTGGAATTTTGCTAGGAGATTCTCCGTTGGTAGAATCTAAGCGTTATCTATGCGTCTTTATGACCCCATCACTGGGGGGGTATTGAAAACGCTGCCTCTCCGCCCGCCGCCATGTTGGATCTCCCATCCCTCTTCTCTTCCAGGAAATCTGTGTTCTCCCTGGCTGACATAGGCCAAATGAATGGCTCCGTGGGAGGAGGTGGCGGCTCAGCTGGAGGAGGAGGCGGTGGTGGCGGTGCTGGTGGCGGTGGCAGTGGTGCAGCAGGCGGCGGGGATGATGGAGAGATGCCAGCTGTGCACGAAATTGGGGAGGAGCTTATCTGGACAGGAAGGTGCACACCCCAGACCTGAGAGAGACCCTGCTGTGCTTTCAACTTCTCTCCTTCCCACCACTTTTCCTTTCCCACCACTGGGTACAGCACCAACATGGGGCCTTAGAACAGACCAGTCTTTTTCTTTTTCTTAGTCTTTTTCTTTCTGAGCCCTCCAAGCCCCTCTTGGATCCTGAGGAGGGTTGCCAGAGCAGGGAATAGGCAATCTGTCCCAGGAGTGGAGGAACCCAAACTTTTCACTAGACATCCTTTGGTACCTGTATTCATTTCCTAGAGCTGCCAAAACAGAGCACCACAAACTAGGTGGTACAAAACAACAGGTTATTTGCCCACAGTTCTGGAGGTCAGAGGTTCAAAATCAAGATGTAGGCAGGGCCATGTTCCATTTGAGACTCTGGGTAGAATCCTTCCTTGCCTGCTCCTAGTTTCTAGTGGTAGCCTACAGTCTTCATCATTCCTTAGCCTGCAGCTGTGTCTCTCCAGTTTCTGTCTGTGTCATCATGGGCCTTCTTCTCCGGGTAGGTCTGTCTTCATGTAGCAATGCCCCTTTCTTTTTTCTTTTTTATAAGGACACCCATCTTATTGGATCATAGCACACCCTAATGACTTCATTATAAACTTGATCAAATCTGCAAAGACCCTGTGTCCAAATAAAGTCATATTCATAAGCCCTGGGGGTCAGGGCTTTAATATATCTTTTAAAATATATTTTTGATATATTTTTTGATAAATTCTCCTAGCCTGGGTTCTTTGCCAGCTCTTAGTGTCTCTCAGGTTAATCTAGGCTTCAGAAAGGACTTTGAGAACAAAGTCATGCTTTATATACCCTTGGCTCTATACCAGTGATTTTCAACTGAAAACAACTTTTCCCTTCTTTAATCTTCACCCTACCCTCACTGGCTCCTGCTGCTCTCTCTACCTTTTGGCTCAGGGAATTTGGCTGCAGACCAAATGTCTTTTCATTTGTCATAACTGGAGAGGAAACACTACTGGCATCTAATGTGTAGAGGCCAGGGATACTGTTAAATACCCTACAATACAAAGAAGAGAATCATTCCAATAAAGGATTATTCAGTCCAAAATGTTAACAGTACTGAGGCTGAGAAACCCTGCTATAATAAGTGCTGGTTTAGGAGCTCTGTGGAATAGCATGCTCAATAAAAACTGTCCCCAAACCTAAATTTCCCACTCAATTGTTCCAGGGAGCAAAGAAACCAATTATCAAGGTTTGAATGTACCCTCAATGAGTTCACGTTATAACCTGGGATATCTCCATCTTCTATAGTTGGCCATACCTATATTTACCATGCACAGGGGCCCTGTAGATAGTCAGGGATGTGAGGAGGACCACCATCTGAGGATCCCAGAATGTTCATTCCTATGGGATAGTCTCATCGGAACCTTCCTCCCTAAAACAAGTTATGTCCACCCTTCCCAGGGTGAATGGTGCTGACTACAAATTTTGGATCCTGCAAGAATTCTGCTCTGGTTCCAAATGTGCTGGTGAAAAGATTCTTGTCCCTAGCCATCCCCAGTCAAATTCCCTTCCTCACCCCAGATTCTGCAGGACCCTAAAAATAGCCCTGCCCCTGCACTGGTGTTTGTGGTAAGAAAGCTACCCATGGGCCTGTCTCAAACAGGTTCTTTGGTGGACTGTGTCTGGATATCAAGAGGAAGTTGCCTTGGTTCCCAAGTGACTTCTATGATGGCTTCCACATTCAGTCCATCTCTGCCATCCTATTCATCTACCTCGGCTGTATCACCAACGCAATCACCTTTGGTGGGCTTCTGGGAGACGCCACCGACAACTATCAGGTGAGTGTGAACAGGGGACATGACAGAAATTGTAAGTAAAATCTGCTGCCACATGGTGGCAGGTTTCAGTCACTGTCTAGGTTTATGCCATTCTTTTTTATAACCCTTTACCCTTTCAAAAGAAGGAAGGAAGGACAGAAGGAAGGAAGGAGGGAAGGAAGGAAAGAAGGAAGGGAGGGAGGGAGGGAGGGAAGGGAAGGGAAGGGAAGGGAATGAAATTAATAATTACTAAAGATCAAATTTAAGGATGATATAAATATGCCAACATTTAAAGGGGAATTATTTACTTTGTTATTTGGCACTTTACCCCCTGATAATTGAACGAACTTAATCAACACAATTAGTTGAGTTGTTAATTGTGAACTTCTCCCCACTTTTTTTTACACCAACTTTGGTTTCTTAACTTGGAGTTAAGACATTTACAGAAGGATGGTAATTTGTTACCATGACAATAAGGCAGACCTCCCTGGGGAAAATAGCTCAGCAGAGACACCCTCCTTCCTCTCCAGTGAACACCTTATGGGGATAGAGTCATTGGGAAGCTTAGGGTTCCAAGGAAAGGACTCATTTCCCCAGGTAGGTCAGATGAATGCCTATTGCCAGCCCTTATCTCTTCCCTGAGTTTCAAGTTGAGTATCCAGCTACCTCCCAAGCATATCCCTATGACTGCCCCTTGAGATCCCCCAACTCACACAGATGGCATTGTGTCCATTATCTTCTCTCCTGACCTGTTATGCATAAGCCTTTCCCAGTATAACAAGTGACACCATAACGCATCCAGTTGTGCATGCTAGAAACTAGGCATCATCCTTAACTCCTAAATCCCGGCTTCCCCTGGTGGCCCTTATGGCATGGCTCTACTTGCCTCTTAAGCCCTCATCTCCTGCCATTCTTTCTTAGAATTCCTGATCTACTCATCCATTGTATTATCTGTTTTCTATCAATCCTGATCATCTTTAAGTTCTTCAAAGACATGCTTCCTTTCAGCTCCAGCCTTTGAATACACTGTTCCCTCTTTGAGGACACTCATTCTCTTTACTCCAGTTAACCCTGTTCTCTTGAACAATCCCTGTTCATGTTTTCGGTCTTGGCTTCCATGTATCTACATCTAGGGTGGCCTTTCTGACTACCTTTTCTCTCCTATTATATATTCCTATGACACCCAGAACCCATCCCACCTTATTGCACTCCTTGACAGAAGTTCTCAATGGGGACAGTTTTGACCTAGGAGACATTTGGAAATATTCAGAGATAGATTTGATTATGACAACTGGGAGGAATGGCTACTGTCTTTTAGTGGGTAGAGGCCAGGGAGGCTGCTAGACATCCTATAATACACAGGACAGATCCCACAACAGAGAATTAGCCTGGAATACCAATAGTGTTGAGGTTGAAAACTCCTGATATATGGAAATTGGTTCCTTATCTATATCCCACTAGACTGAACATGAGTTATCTTATTCACTGATGGGTCTCCAAACCTAGCACAATGCCTGGTACCTAGTAGGCACTTAATGGATTTTGAAAGAATGAATGATCTTAATTCTAAAGATATCAAATAGATGTTTAAATGAATGAATATTTAGATGGATGAATGGGCTGTCCTCTGTGAGTAGGATGGACACAAAACAAGCATATCCATGGTTTTCCAGAACCTGGAGTGCCAAAAGCAGGTCACAAAGGACCTTCATCCAAATTGAATTAGGTTAAAACTGACATGGTAGCAAACTGTGGGAGATGGGAAGCAAAATTTGGGGAGAAGAGAGGCCAGAACAAAAGATGAACAAAAGCTCTTGGAGAGATACCTGGGTTGCAACCTGAATGCGGAAGCCTCTTCTACTACTTCTGCTAAGTCTCACACTTCTCATGCCCCCAGGGAGTGATGGAGAGCTTCCTGGGCACTGCCATGGCTGGCTCCTTGTTCTGCCTCTTCTCGGGACAGCCTCTCATCATCCTCAGCAGCACAGGGCCCATCCTCATCTTTGAGAAGCTCCTCTTCGACTTTAGCAAGTAGGTATCCTTTTGGTGATGCCCCCTGCCATCTCTTGCACTTAGGGCTGTTAGCCAAAGCCAAGACACAGTAATAGGCAGGGACTAGGAAGTGCCAAAGCTACCTTTAACAAGGGAGAGATTGTCAGGTGGATCCTCCTGGCTTCTGCCAGCTACCTGCCTTTAAGATGACTATTTTAGTGTGTATTAGCACAGCCCACAGGGAGCAATCCAGGCAAGACAAGGGAAGAAGACTCATACCATTCTGTTCAATTAAAAGTCAGTGTAGTGTTTGAAAGTCTTGGGCTGGAGGTCAGAAGGCTGCACCCAGACCCAGGCAACTCCCATCACTCCAGGCTCTGCTGCCTCATCTACACCCCAAGGGTTTGACTCAACTATGCCTAAGGCCTGCTCCAGCCCTATTCATCTGAAATTTCCTGTTTTTCATTGACGCTGGGTGTCTGTGACCAACTATGTGGGCACTGAGTCCCTCAGCACCTTCCTGCATACCTCCATGGGATCTTTTCCTAGACTTCTCAAAGATCAGGCAACCCCACCCAGGAATTGTCCCTGTCCCCAGTCCTTTGACTGTCCCTAGGAGGGAACCTGTGCCATGGGAGGGGAAAATGAGCTGCTAAGGGTGGGTCTGGGAAGCCAAGCACAGGAATCCTGGACTGGAGGACCCCCCCCACTTTCCCTCTGCCTTCCAGAGGCAATGGCCTAGACTACATGGAGTTCCGCCTCTGGATTGGCCTACACTCAGCCATCCAGTGCCTTGTCCTGGTGGCCACAGATGCCAGCTTTATCATCAAATATATCACCCGCTTCACCGAGGAGGGCTTCTCCACCCTCATCAGCTTCATCTTCATCTATGATGCCATCAAGAAAATGATCGGTGCCTTCAAGTACTACCCCATCAACAGGGACTTCAAGCCCGACTCCATCACCACCTACAAATGCGAGTGTGTCGCCCCTGACACAGGTGACCGGTAACCCCAGACATGCCCTGCCCACCCCCCAACATACTCTCCCCTAGGACCACAGCTCTGTCAAATGCAGGAGAGCCTGTTTGAGAGGGGCTGTTCAGCCCATCATTCCAAGGGAGCCGCACAGGGTATTAAGCCCAGTTTTTGGAAGGAAACCAAGAGAACAGTAGCCTTAATATCAACTCCCAGGGCTATGATCAGAAGGGTATGGGGGTATCTCAGGAAGGCATAGGCACAGTTTGCCTCAGTGCAGGGTGATGTGGAGGCTACACCTGTCAGCCTGCTACCCAAGCCAGAGGTAGATCTTTTGGTGCCTAATGTCCCTCCTCATATATTTTTTCTATCATTGCATGACACCTTATTCCCAAAACATTGCTGCCAATGTGGTCTCATACTTTATAAGGCGAGAGCACATCAGATGGATGAACATCTTTATAAACAGGAACACATCCAGTGTGGAGGGCTTGCCAATCATGCCAATAGAAAAACAGTTGGATAACCTGGGGTTATTTAGCTTCTTAGGGATAAGAGAGGCATGAGAGAAGAACTGTCATGCCACAAGGGACACAGGATGTAGAACAAATGGAGGAGCCGAAGTTTCAGGGAACCAGATGCTAGCTGACTCTGGGAAAACTGTGCAATGGTGGGAGTCGCTATCATGGGAAATATCTGCCTCTTGGTTGATAGCCAGTTACTTGGACTCTCTGGAAGTCTGTGTGCCAAGAGATCCCCATACTAGGTGGGAGGTTTAATCAACCCACTGGTCAACCTGATAATAAGTATTCAGTGCCATTCTTGTGGAGTTACTTTATGGACCAAAACCTGTCATCTGGAAACTTAGAATTTCTCATAGAGTCTGATCTCCTGACCTCCCTTGCAGCCATAAGCATGGCCCTGAGAGCATTCAGTGGGGTGTACCCAGGGTACTGCAGAGCAGGAACAGGACATCCACCCCACTTCTCCAAGCAGCACCAGGCTGGACTCACAGAGAGCAAACTGAGGCCCAGAGGCCACCCAAGGTCACACCAAACCTCAGTTTCCCTAGATATAAAAGGGGGACGTCAATGTTGGCTCTACCAGTTTTGTGGGGCTCTTATGAGGTTTTCAAATCTATGCCCAGGTTTGATTAAAGGAAATAAGTAAACATTTGGGGTTTTCAGTCCCTTAATACATTACTATGAGCCAGACAGAGTGATCTCAGCCTCACCTGTGATCGTAGCTACTCAGGAGGCTGAGGCAGGAGGATCACAAATTTGAGGCCAATCTGGGAAACTTAATGAGACTGTTTCAAAATAAAAGTTTAAAAAGGACTGGGGGTGCAGTTCAATAGTAAAGTTCTTGCCTAGCTTGATTAAGGCTCTGGGTTCAATCCCCAGTGCTATCAAAAAATACAAACAAATAAGCAAGGAATTCAAAAGCGTTACTATGTATATTAAAAAAAGGTGATCACAAGTCAATCAAAAATATTGGTGGCACAATTTTTTAGGGTCTTTGGAACTTTATGGAAGATAAAATGCCTTGTCTTCAAGGAGTGTGGTTTTGATTACACCCCTGCTCCCTGTCACTGCGCTGATTTTGTAAAGAAGTCAAGATTTAATTTTTTCTTATATTTTTCTATCATTAATGTTGGGTTATTCTATTAAAATCCAGTGATAGGTAAAGCTACCCTTGGTCCTGAGTCAGGGCACATCGCTTGTCCAGAACATTGAGGAGATGCTACCCACTGGCCCTTTTTATTCTGCCCTGGGGCAAACCCTGCCTCTGGGCCAGGTTCCATTTGGGTGCTCTTGTTTACAGCTTGTACATTCCTGACTCCAGATTCATTACACTGAGCACAAATTTCCCACAAACATGACTTTTAGAATCATATTCCTTGATCTCTTTCTATAGACATTCGAAATTCTGGAGTCATATGAAGACCTTCGGCTATTCTGAAAATCATCTACCCACAGGAGAAACCAAACCTAAAAATGCCCTAGAAACAGAGGATGAAGGAACATACAAAGTAGCATTCAAGGAGCATAATGAAGCCACTTCATTTCCAAATAGCTTCCTCTCTGGTCTTGCCCAGAGGCTTCATGTCACTTCATTCTGGGTCATGCTGTTGTCATGTTTCTCAAAGTGTGGTCCCCAGACCCACAGCTTTAACACCATCTGAGAACTTGACAGAAATGTAAATTCTTGGGCTCTACCCCAGACCTTCTGAATCAGAAACTGGGGCAGGGTCCAACCATCTATGGATTAACAAACCTTCCAGGTAATTCTGATGCCCTCTCAAGTTTGAGAGCTTCTGCTCTCTTGAACTATTAATTAATACGCTGAGCCATTATTAACTACTAACTCCAAAAAGACTAGGTCTTCAGGGGTTGGACTGTAGTTCAGTGGTAGAGTACTTGCCTCTAATGTCTGAGACACTGGGTTCAACTCTCAGCAATATATACAATTAAAATAATTTTTAAAAAGATTAGATCTTCAGTTTCTTCACTGAGAATAAAGGAATTGGAACCAGAACAAGTTAGTTCTGATTAGGAGAATATAGAAAGGAAAGTTCTAGATATGTAGGAAACTAGGGAGTGGGGAACTAACTGTGGTTTCTTTCCAGTTCATGAGTCATCTAATTACTAATTGTTCCATATTCTTAGGTTTACTGAAAAGAAAAAAAAAACAGTTTAACTATGGCATACTCTCATTCTTTGTCATTCTTCCTAATAAGCGCTTTTTCGGGGGCACTTTCTTTTTATATTTAACTTTGTTTCCATTGTAACTGATTTGTATTCTGTTTATGGATGCTGCAAACACTGATTTGGCTGCTTTCAATCCCAAGTGAGTACCACTTTTTGCACACTAGAATTTTACAATATTTTTGGACCCTTTCTGGAATTTTCCATGTTATATTTCTTCCATCTTCATCTTGAGTAGCTTTCAGATAAACTCTATAAAGTTCTTGATATAAAATAATTGATAAGCCTAAGGAAGACATCAGGAGGATGTCTGGCCTGAAAACACTGGATGGTGGAAAATGTTTGACCTCCCCAAGTTTAAGCACTAACAGGGAATTCTCTAGCATGTCAGTGGGTCGCCTAGAGGCAGCTTCTTGGCCAGCTTCTCTGTCCCTAATGTTAATTGTGCATCATGTTCTTTTGGTCAACAATGTGAGGAAAGGCAACAGATGTCCTTGATTTCTAATAAGTAACACTTTTGTCAGAACAATCTGAACAAACCACTGGGTTTATAGAACTCCTAGTAATGTTCTACAAACTGAGCAAGACCGCGTTTGTCAGCAACCCAGTCCAGCTGCCCCAGAAATGAGCACCTTAGCAGGGCCCTGTAGTCTATCCAACCCTGTGGACAGCTTGTTAGTGGTTGGGAGAAGCTTCAAGATTAAGCTCTTCTCTCTGAGTTCCTAACCAAATGTGGATAGTCAGCAGGGGCCAAATGGGGCTTGCAGAGCCTCTCAGGCTTATTGCCAGCAAACTGGCTGGGGTTCCTTGATCTCCCCACACCTGCCACAGGAGAACTGCTTAGTCTGCCTTTGCTTGGAGGAGGAGAGTGAGGCAGGCCTGGCCTTCACTTCCACCCCTGCAGTTCAGGAGGAAGAGAGAGGGCAAGCAGTGGTCCTCCGAAGCCTGCCTTTGTCATGAGTAGCCACCAACCCTGGGGAGCCCCCCATGTGGGTGATGAGCTCTCCCCACAGGAAGGAGCAAGAGAGGCCCAACAGAGAGAAGGGAGAGTGGAAAAGTCCACATGGAAATGAGAGAAGGCAGATTATGTTTCCTCCAGCTTTCCTCAGGAACTGAAGGGACCCATAGGTGCTCCACTTAAAGGGACACTGAGGCCAGGGAAGGGAAGTGCCCAGCAAGAGACACAGTGAGAACAAATAAAAACAGAACCTTTGGGTTCCTGATTCTTCTTCAGGTCCTACACCCAGGTTATATTTTCCTTGTCTTCTATTAAAGGGGCAGATTAAATAAGAGACTATCAAAGCCAATAAGTTCAAACAGGCCCAGCTGACCTTACAAAAAAAAAGCACATCTGGAAAGGGGCAGGAGAGAAGGGAAGTGTTGGTGGGGGGCGGGGATGGCAAAGCTTGCTGTACCGAACTGGGAGGTTTATATGCTCTGGGCCAGCCTGCCTGGGATGGGATCATGGCTCCAAGTATGAGCTCTGTGACCTTGGGCAATAGGCAGGTTAACCTCTCTGGGCCTCAGTTACCTCATCTGTAAAATGGGGATACTTTACGGAGATTTGGGAACTTAAATGAGTGTGTGTGTGTGTGTGTGTGTGTGTGTATATATATATATATTTGGCATAGTGCAAAGCATGTAGTTAATCCTTTAAAAATGTTAAGTCTAACAGCACCCAAATGGGTCTAGTGGCCAGTAGAGATTCACAAGGCACATTATTCACCAACTTGTCTTAGCGTCAGATTCTTTATTTCAGTTTTTTCAAAACCAGCTGTTTATTGTCAGGCAGAAGATGTCCTACAACAGCTGGCCCAGCCTTATGTCTGAGTTCTGGCCCAGGCCCCCTCCCACCAACCCATCCCTAAAGACAGGGGCAAGAGAGGCAAAACAAAGAAGGTGAAGAAGGGCCAGATATGATGAGCTGTCCTCATGATGGGAACCAATTTGGCTCTAAGGAACTGGAGTGAAAGGAGAAAGGGTGGGAGCTTCGTGGGGATTGCAGGTTCCCCATCCCAAAGCCTCTGACCTTCCCCATGTCCTTGCTCATCTACAGTGAATACAACTGTGTTCAATGCCTCAGCCTCGCCAGCACCAAACCTCAATGCTTCTCTGGTAAGTCCCCTCCTCTTAGGTCAGACGGTCAGGTGCTGTTTTGTGGGTGGGGGTAGTGAGAAGAGACTTGGGAAATTGAGACCAATTCATGGCAACTCAGACTCACAGAGGCCAACCCCAGGGGCACCCGCAGAGCTTTGTAAATGTGTACTTTTATTTTAAGATGCTTATGTACTGTAAGCATCCCATCTTAAAACATGCCTCTTCTATTGCATGCATTGCAAAAATATGATATATACCTACAAATGAAGGGGAGGTAGCAGTGAGGATGGTAATAGGGCTGTACACACAATTGGAAACAAAGTTTCCCTTTCATCTTTCTTGGTTTTCCTTCCCTTTCTACCTTGGACCACTAGTTCCCACCCAACAATTCTCTAGTCCCAGAAAATTTAGTAGTGCTCCCCGTCCCTAATGAATCTGACCTGTCCTTTGACCTCCTTAGTCCCTGGGACTTCTAGGTCTGGCCTACCTTTCCCAATAATGACGGGTGGTGGCCTTCAGGAGCCAATGTCCCAGCCTAAATGGGTCTAATGGTGGGAAGCTCAAATCCAGGTGAAGGGTAGCCTTCATAGGCCTTGGGAGAGAAGTGGATGCTTTTAGGTTGCTTCTTAAGTTACCCTGCACAGGCAGTTGGTGACTCTGCTCAGACAATTCCAATTGACAATTTAACCTAAGGTTTTCCAAATCCCAGGTCTTGAGAGAGAAAGAAAAGAATCAGTCAGTGCCTATTTCTCAATTCCTATTGTGTTCAAGATGCTATGTGCACTAAGAAATCAATGTGGGGCTGGGGGTGGAGTTCAGTGGTAGAGCACTTGCCTGGCACATGAGAGGCCCTGGCTTCAATTGCCAGCATTGAAAAAAAAAAGAGTAAATAAAGAAGACATAGATAAAGTTGGTCCCTGCCTTCCAACTTCCTTTTGATGTGCTTGTGAAGATGCACGTGAATAGTTATGGGAGGCAGGGGCTGGGATTGTGGCTCAGCGGTGGAGCGCTTGCCTATCACAGGCTGGATTCGAGTTCGATCCTCAGCACCACATAAAAAATAAAGGCATTGTGTTGTGTCCATCTACACCTAAAAAATAAATATTAAAAAAAAAAGAGCTATGGGAGGCATGAGCAGGGCATGCCATGCATCAAATCTAGGCCATGTATGTTCTTCCAACCCTGGTGGCAGGAAAGAAAACTAGCCGAAGAGTCCAGAGAAAGCCTCATGGAGAAAGTGGAATGTGCTATAAATATATTTATAGTCCGTGGAAACATCCATATCCCTGTATCTGCAAAAAATTTTAGAAATTAATAAGCCCATATGATTTTTAAAAAAAGACAAAGTGGAATGTTTAAGGTTGGGAGAAGGTTGATTCAATAGAGAGAACATTCCAGGCGGATGGAACATCAAAGACAGAGGGCCAAAGAAGAAAAGCACAAAACCTGTGCAGGAGACAACGAGTGGACTAGTTCAGCTGATATGAGAATGGAAGATTGGGGAAATCCCAAGAGGCAAACTGGAAAAGAAAAGTAGGACAGACCTGTGGGGCAGTAGAGGAACAATATCTGCAGGGAGCATTTTAAATTATATGTGGTGATTGAGGGATATGGCTGACATTCAGTGGATGGGGTCCCAAAATGCAAGACAGCATGAGACAGTCTCACACCAGACCTCCTCACTTATGTGTCATTAGCAAATCTTGAGGCTGAGCGGGAGGATCGTAAGTTTGAGGCCATTCTGGGAAATGTAGTGAGATCCTGTCTCAAAATAAAAAATAAAAAAGGCCAGGGGTATGGCTCACACATAACACACACACACACACACACACACACACACACACACACTGGATTAAAGCAATAGAAGCAGCAATTATAATTCTCATAATTCTGTGGGATGACTGGCTAGTTCACTGATTTCACCTGAACTCAGTTTTGTGGCCTTTCAAGCTGGCAAGCCTGGTAGGGATTTGTCACAGGTGGAACAGAATGGCTCTACCTGTCTCTCCATGTGGTTTTCTCAGTCTTGAGTTTGTCACAGCATTGTGTTATCAGGTTTCCAAGAGTGTGAAGGCAGAACCTGCAGGCTCCTTTCATTGCCTCCAAGTCACTTCCTCCCTCACTCTGTTGGTCTAAGCAGGTCAAAGACCAGCCCATATTCAAAGGAGTGGGAAAACAGACTTCCCCTTTGATAGGAGGACCATCAATGCCACACCGTACATGAGTGTGGATGAAGGAAGGCATGATTCATTAGGGACCTTATTGTAATGCTCTATTACACTTGTCTTAATACAAACATCCCTTATAGCTAGTTGTAAGCATATGTTTACTTCATTATGTAACGTTTCTAAATATTTACACATTAACTTTTTAGGTTTTTTTTTTTTTTTTTTTAGGTTTTGTTTTGTTTTGTTTGTGGTGCTGGGGATTGAACTCAGGGCCTTGTACATGCAAGGTAAGCACTCTACCAACTGAGCTGTATCCCCAGCCCTTACACATTAACTTTTAAAAATATGTATTAAATTGGGGCTGTAGCTGTGGCTGTGGCTCAGCGGTAGCGCATTTGCCTGGCATGTGTGAGGTACTGGGTCCTATCTTCAGCACCACATATAAACAAATAAATAAAATAAAGATCTAACAACAATTTTTAAAATGTATTAAATTGTATTATATTTATATAATACATTTTCTTCCTTCTTTTACTACTCTTAGGAATACATAAATACAGATATTCTTCAGTATTCACAGAGGTTTAACTCCAGGATCACCCAAAGATATCAAAATCTATAGATGCTGGGGCTGGGGTTGTGGCTCAGTGGTAGAGTGCTTGCCTAGCATGTGTGAGGCGCTGTGTTCAATCCTCAGCACCACATATAAATAAATAAAATAAAGTCCATTGACAACTAAGAAAATATTTTTAAAAATCCATAGATGCTCAAATGCTTTATATAAAATGGTATAATATTTATATGCCCCATCTCCTGGATATTTTAAATCATCTTTAGATAACTTATAATACCTAATACAATCTAAATGCTATGGAAATGGTTGTTATATTGTATCATTTAGGTGGTAATAGTAGTCTGTACATGTTTAGTACAGATGTAATTTTTAAAAAATATTTTTGATTCACAGTTGGTTGAATTCAAAGAAGAAAAACCTGTGGATACAAAGTATATAAAATTTATATTTATATATAAAATTGCGTTGTTTTGCATGCCCTGAATTTTAGGATCTGGGACACAAACGAGGGAAATAGCTGAAATGACTTAAGAATGGACTGGCAAAGGAGTGACAGAAGGGAAGGAGAGGAGAGAATAGTGTGAGATGTCAATAGACCCATGGTTGGTGGACAGGGACAGATGTCCAGCCTACTGAAGGGGAGGGCATTCCCGCCACTGCTGCATAGTTTCTCATTGCTAGCAAAGATATAGGGTGCACCCCAGAACACAATGAAAAAACAAGTGTCAGCTTCCAGTCCTCCCAGGGTGCTGCCTGCTTATGACTCCTTGAACAATCCTGTCCCCTGGAACACCATTCTGTTACTGAAGGCATCATGGTGGTGGGTGTGTGGGCTGCCTGGGATAGCAAGGGGAAGGACAAGGCCAACCTGCCAGGAAGGTTCTGACCCTTTCTCTCTTATGTTTGGTCTCCAAGTATGATCCCCTTAACCTCACAGCACTGGACTGGTCCCTGCTGAGCAAGAAGGAGTGTCTGAGCTATGGTGGGCGCCTACTTGGGAACTCCTGCCAGTTCATTCCAGACCTGGCACTCATGTCCTTCATTCTTTTCTTTGGGACTTACTCCATGACCTTGACTTTGAAGAAATTCAAATTCAGCCGCTATTTTCCTACCAAGGTAAGTGCACCATGCAGTTAGGAAGAACCTATAGTCAAATAACTATTGAGAAAAATGTCATCAGCTGGGCTGGTGATGCCTGCCTGTAATCTCAGTGGCTCAGGAAGCTGAGGCAGGAGCATCCCAAGTTCAAAGCCAGCCTCAGCAAAAGCGAGGCACTAAGCAACTTAGTGAGACCCTGTCTCTAAATGAAATACAAAATAGGGCTGGGGATGTGGCTCCGTGGTTAAGTGCCTTTGAGTTCAATCCTTGGTACCCTTTGAAAAAAGGGCCACCATGTGGGCACTGGCTCATGTGGGTTTTTCAAGTTAAAACACATACTTTGGAGTTAGGGAGAATTGGAATCTCTTGTTGATAAGCACTTTGGCAACAAATATTTCATATTTTCAGACTTTTACCTTTAGTCTTCCTGTGCAATAATACCTCATGTGTTTTTTAAATTTTTCAGTGCACCGACAACTAATGAAATTGAAAATCTTGTCATGTGTTTATTGACCATAAGGCCATTTGACTTTCTTCTTGGAAGTCTCTGTTTAAATCCTCTTGCACAGTTTTTATTGGGTTGTTCTTTACTTTCTGATGTGAAAAAGTTCTTTATATATTCTGAATACAAATTTTTTCATGTTGTGATATCTTTTCCCACTCTGTGACTGACCTTTTTACTTTTTTTAATACATTTTTTAAGTTGTAGATGGATACCCTATCTTTATTTTATTTGTTTATGTGGTGCTGAGGATCGAACCCAGGGCCTCATACATGCTAGATAAGTACTCTACCACTGAGCTACAACCTCAGACCCCTTTTTACTTTCTTCTTCTTTCTTTTTTTTTTTGGTTGGTGCTAGGGATCAAACCCAGGGCCTTGTGCACGCAAGGCAAGCACTCTACCAACTGAGCTATATCCCCAACCTAATTTTTAATGCTATTATAAATACTCACTGCTATTTTTTAATTTCAGTTTCTGTTTGTGTCTGGAATAAAATATGTATTAATCAAAACTGCACTTGCAGGCTGGGGTTGTAGCTGAGTGATAGGGCTCTTGCCTGGCACTGGGTTCAATCCTCATCACCACATAAAAATGTAAATAAACAAAATAAAGGTGTTGTGTCCATCTGCAACTAAAAAAAAAATTAACTGCATATGTGAGGAATGGCTGTGCCATGGGAAGGGATGTTTGGAAGAATTTTAGCAATTCACTCATACCATAAATCCCATGCATGCTCTCCTAAAGCCATTTTAAATAAATAGTATGACTAAGGGCAAATGAATATTATGAATAATAAACTCATTTAATAATAAATGAATATTATAACTATCATATGAATAGTTGAATTTTCCCCAATATTTTCTAAAGACTAAATAAAAGGTTCATTAGGAAGCTTTGCAAAAAAACAACTAAGTAAAAACTCATGGAACTGCAACACAAATGAATCCTAAAAACAAGCTTCCTCACATCCTCCCCACTCCCACCTACATCATCTCCCTAATTTCTTCTTACGTGAAAATGCTAGAGCAGTGGCTGATTCAGAGAATGTCTGTTATTTTCAGGATGAAAAATAATTTGCATAATATTTCTAGGGCCACCAATATTTTTGCCTTAAAATACTTAAAAACTGTTTTCTTGTCTCCTGGAATTTTGTGTTGCAGAGAAAAATGAGGTTACACTATTTTACACTCATCAGGTTGGTTAGCACTCCAAGCCTTGGAATATCAGGTATTGGAGATTGAAAGTGATAGATGAGAGTGTCAAGAGGTATGTTCAATTTGGAGGGCAATGGGCATTCTATGATAAAGCTGGAGATGACAGGACCTTCAAACCAGTACATCCACTCCCAGGTATATACCCCAGAGAAATTCTCATGTGTGTACAAGAACAGTCACAGAAACATTGATTCCAAGAGAAAAACTAAAATGATCTAAATGTAACTATTAATATGAAAATAAAGAAACAAATGGAAAATAATCATGCAAAGATTGAGCTGCAAATAATATAGACTACAGCTACATTTATCCACAAGGAAAAATATCATAAACATAATGTTGAACAAATAAAGCAAATTGCAGAAGATTACAAATAACATGTTACCCTTTATGTAAAATTTAAAAACAAGCAAAGCAATGCCATGTTTTGTTAAGGGATATGTACACACTTAGTCTAAGTAGAGACTTCATGGGAAAAGTAAACTCTGAATTCAAACTAGTGGTTCTCTTTAGAGAGCTAGTACAGGGATGTCACTGGGTGACAGGAGAGATCGTCCACTGGATGGGTAAATTTTTATTAAGGAGCAGGGGAGTTCACAGCTGTTTATTTTGTCTATCTTCATATGGGATTGGACCATATGAAATGGCCTATATTTGACTGTTTTGTCCTACAAAAAAAATGGCAGATTCACATAGTTAACTTGATAACATTTTTATTTCAGTGCTAGGAAAATTGTGGAAAAGAAATATAAATGTAGCACACTACTTGGTTCTGCTGTGACCAACGCTGATATGATCCTAACAACATAAAGATGTTATTGCTTTTCACCTTTCGGAATCCACTTACAGATAAAACACAAAAGATGTGTCTACACAACAGTGTATGATCTCCTCAGCTTTGACATGTAAAGATCAAAGTGAAGGCATCATAGGTGGAAGGGGGACAAGTAAGAGAGGTGGTGACAAGCTCAAGTACAGTGATCCTCACCTCACGTGACAGAGAATGAGAGATATTGGCAAGAGTTATGAGATATTTAATTACATAACACAAAAGTACAAAGGAAGCCCATAGAAAGAGTTTTAAAATGAATAACAGAAATTAGGAATGGGGAAAGGGAAGGAGGGGTAATATAAGTAAGTCTAAACTTTATAGTAATGCCTTTAATTAGTAAATCAAAATATGAAACTATAAACATATTAACTGTCATGGAATAAACCTCCAGAAACAACTAAAACCAAGACATATGTCAGGAAGGTGGGACCAGAATTAGAAAAGCTAAGGTAGGGACTTTGCTCTCCACTGTCTTTTTTACACTAAGTGATTTTTCAGTCAGTCACATGTTATATTAATACAATTTGAATGGGAAGTAGGATGTGTCCTCACCTGCCTCTGCCCCTTCAAATTGCTTTCTCTGAAGAGATATAAAATAAAGGTGGCAGATAGACATTGGGGGACCCTGTGCCCTGAGACTTCCCAATATAGAATAAGGGGAGGGATGGGGTCAAGAGGATGCTTTCAGAAAGGGCAGGGAAGTCAGATCCAGAACTAGCCTGGAATAGGTCTCCCAGAAATAAGAATAATGGGCTGGACACTCTTGGTGGACAGGTTTGAGAGTAGCTAGAGGTCCCCTATGTAATTGGGGCAGGGGTGAGAGTTTCCCTCCCAGCCCAGGGGTGTGACAACCTGTCATGTTTTTGAGAGCTAGGGTTTCCTTCCAAGTTTAACACTTGCCCTCACCACCCGGCAGCTGGCCCCGTCCAGTGTGTCATATCAGAACACATCTTCAGCAAGGGTTTCCAGGGCCACCCAACATCCTAACAACTCCCACTTTGACCACCGGTATCCCAAGCACTCTAAATGTGCCACAGCTCCTTTGCACCTGAAGGTAGGTGCTATCTTTATCTTCTTTTCATAATGGAAGAAACAGACTCTATGGCATGCTTCCCCAAGGTCACACAGCCAGCAAGGAGAAGAACCAGGATTTGAGCATAGGCCTGCTGACTTCAGGGTCCTGCCTTTAAGGGGTCTCCTCTTTGCCACCTGCAGATTGGGTCAGCCTGGAGCAGGGTGGATGTTTCACTCACTAGCTTCTCTTTTTTCTGTAGGTCCGTGCCCTGGTGGCTGACTTTTCCATTATTTTCTCCATCCTGATGTTCTGTGGAATCGATGCCTGTTTTGGCCTGGAAACCCCCAAGCTGCACGTGCCCAATGTCATCAAGGTTTGCCCCTTGCCCCTGATCCAGGCAATTGCCCTGCCTGCCCATGAGCTATAGTCCTTATCTCCTCTATGCTCAACATTCTTCTCTCAACCAAGTCACCCTGTAGGTTCTCAGTGTACGCTCTACCATTTTCTGCACAGCCTCCCAGGGGCAGTCCTTTGAGAGGTGGGTGGGGACATATTTAGAATGAAATCTTGCTGTGTACCCTAAGGAGTAGGGAAGGTGCTAGAATCCACACTCCAGTCCAGCTGAAGCCTTTTGACTTCTATTTATGGGTTTCCAATTTCCTCACCTATGACAGTCTACAAACTTGGCCAACTGGAATCTACTGAAAATGACCCCTTGTAACAGTGATTCTCAAAGTGTGGTCCCTGGACTAGTGTCACATTGTCACCTGGGAACTTGTTCTTGGTGAGTCTGTACTCCAGCACTCCCAAGGTGGGAGGACTGCTTGAGGTCAGGAACTCCAGACTAGGTTGGGCTAGTGAGTCCCTTCCTAGAGAAATGAAGGAAGGAAGGGAGGGAAGGAGGGAGGAAGGAAGGAAGGAAGAAAAAAAGGAAGATAGGGAAAGGAGGAAAGAAGGAAAGAAATGCAAATTCTCATATTCTTATTCCCATCTCAGAAGTATGGAATCTGAAAGTCTTGTGGGTAGAACCCAGCAATTTGTGTTTTAACCGGCACTTTAGGTGATTCTGAACATGTTTAAAATTCAAAACCACTGTCAGAAATTACCCATTAGTCCATAGTTGGTGCCATTTGTTTGTGGCTAAGTTCAAGCCCTGTTCCCTCACAAATGCACCTGCCATCTAAGCAAGGTAGGAAGTCCAGGTTCTAGAATGTTCCTCTGCCTTTGAGGCCTTGATCTTCATGATATTTTTTCAGGGTTTTACTGAGTAGCTTAAACACATCTCATACAACTCATGCTGGCTCTTCAAAATAAAAGTGTCCCTTTCTTTTAAATATAAAATATTATAAAGGTCAGCTTCTGCAATAGCTAACCCCTTTGTCCCCTTTGCCAGTCTGAGTTGATATTCGGTGCTTTGTTTTGAAGTACTGGGAATGGAACCCAGGGCCTCAATGTACGCTAGGCAAGTGTTCCACCACTGAGCTACATCTCCAGCCCACGGTGTTTGTTGTTTTACAGACAATTCTATAATGCACTGAACCCAGAATGCTTTATTCTTGTCTCTTGGACCTCATTTCTGCTTTTTGTTCTTTTGCAATTAGTGACTGCATATTCAGCTGCCTTCTGATCTTTATTTCTGTTTCCCAACCAATCCTAGGGCAATCACAGCAAATTATCCCATTAATTCTGTAGCCCCCACCTGTATTCATGCCACTTCCCATAGCTATGTGCCTCTGTGATCTATTTAAAGTTGTAGGTGCCTAATGTCCTTAAGGGAAAAATATTGTTCTTAAAAAGTTCTCCCAGTTGGGGAAAAAGTGAGGTGGTAGGAAAGGGGCCAGCAGGCAAGCACCTGGCAAGAGAGAGAGGAAAGGGCCCTCTTCATTTGCTCTGCTCAGCCCACACGGCCTGACCGAGGCTGGTTCGTGGCCCCCTTTGGGAAGAACCCGTGGTGGGTGTACCTGGCGAGCATCCTGCCCGCCCTACTGGTGACCATCCTGATCTTCATGGACCAGCAGATCACAGCTGTCATTGTTAACCGGAAGGAGAACAAGCTGAAGGTAAGGCTATCCTTTGCCAGGAGCAAAGTTAGAAGGATTAAAGGAGGGAGAGGCTTCTTTCAATACTTTGAGCAGAAGACAAGTTCCCACTTGATGTGTTGTGGAGTGGGTGGGGGTGGGGTGACTTCCAGCAGGGCCAGATGATTTTGAGGACCAGGACCAAGCCCAAGCCCTAGGCTGGGCCCCTGCATACAGAACCCTTGCCTCTTCCAAAGTGACCCTTCAACTCTGTACCTCCTGAGAGTGAATTTAGGAGTCTAAGCAGTTGCTGACAGGAGGACAAGCCTGAAGTCATAAGGCAGAGGAACTTCCTTAGCCTCCTTGGTCCCTGAAACTCCTCTCTCTCTATGCCTCTGGGTCCAAGAAGACTTGGGCTACTCTCTCCTTGACCCCAATATAGACCAATCGAGGGTCCCAGCTGGGGCATCTCATTCAGGAACTGCAGATACTGTGGCCACTGGGTGGAAACCTTTTTCCCCGGGGACCCAAACCTAGGACTTTTCCAAGCCGGAACATCCCTCTCCTTCATTACCTATGTCCCTTACTTGGTTCACCCTTTCAGACAAGGTGGCAACTAAAGCCACCTTTGAGGGAGGTGAGACCTGAACACCTCTAAAGTTCTTACAGAGAGCACCTCAGAGTGGTAGCCCCTCAGAGTGCACTCTGGAAGGCAGGGGAGCCTTTGACTGTGTTCCACAAAATGGCTGTTCTGAGGAGAAACAGGCTCCCAGAAGCTTCTCCCATCCTACCACCTGTGCAGAAGGCTGCTGGCTACCATCTGGACCTCTTCTGGGTGGGCATCCTCATGGCCCTGTGCTCCTTCACGGGGCTCCCCTGGTATGTGGCTGCCACAGTCATCTCCATTGCCCACATCGACAGCCTCAAGATGGAGACGGAGACCAGCGCCCCTGGGGAGCAGCCCCAGTTCCTGGGAGTCAGGTAGGAGGAGGTCAGGGCCTGGATCACCTAAACAGGAGTGACCCATCTAGGGAAGGGGAAGGCAGCTATTCTTACCATTAAGGAATCTAGGGACAAAGGGTCCCTGCTCTGACAGCCCAGGAACTAGGAACAGGAGTGATATTGGAAGGGAGGGAAGAAGGGAGATGAAAATTTATTTCTAAGTGGTACTTTCTAAGAAAAAAGTTAAGACTATTAAGAAATAGTCTCCAAGTAGCACATGCACATGCACGCATGCATGCACACATACATATACAAATATGCCTATACACACGTGAACTCCAAAGATTCACCTCATAGACCATGATAGAACCTCTTCCTGTCCTTCCCTTTTCTCTTCTTCAAGACCCTCCAGTCCCCTGGGTCTCCTATTTTCCAATGCTTTATATTCTTCCAGAAAGCCTTCCTGGGACCACCACTATCCTCTATACCTGGTCCTGACATGTTCTTTCCCTTGCTCCTCATGTCATGCCCCACGCCAGGTCCCTAAGCTGTTTTGGGCTGGGAATCACATCTGCCCTATAGAGCCTCTGAGGCTTACACCAAATCCTAGCATTCTCCTAATGGAAGTTTCTCCCTACTGCCTTGGGATATGTAGGCTACCTGATTTGCTCTGTGAGAGGCTTCTCTGCCTCATGTAGGGCTCAGGACTAGATAGGACACTGTCCCCTTCCTGTCTCCTGAGCTCCTGGTCTAAGCCATCTTCCCCAGAGCCCAGGGCTCCAACCTGGGCTATGTTAGTGCCTGGGCACTCAGGAAAACTTACCTGCCTCAACCTCTGACATCTCCTCCACTGGAAGCCAGGCCCCCTTCCCCAGCATCAGTCATGCCCTGCCAAAGTGGGATCTTACTTCCAAAAAGCAAGGTAATCAGCACTTTTTATTACAACAATCTCCCAATGTAGATGTCATTATTATTTCTATTCTACTGGCTCAAGGTATCATGGTCTTGTCTGATATCCCACAATGAGTAAATGGCAGAGCCAAGATTCAATGGAAGTCCATCAGGATCAAGCACCCAGCTATTAGGCACTGTACTGAACAAGTTCCTTGATGCCCCTTAAAAATGCCGTGGCCTCCTTCAGGGGCGCCCCTGTCTTCCCTGTGTAGGGCAGCTGGGCCTTAGGCTAAAAGGCAGAGCCTGATGCAGAAGCCATGGCCTTGGACACAAGTTTGAGGGCCCACAGAGAGGCAGGAGGCTGGGAATGGTCACCAAGTATCTCTGGATCTCCCCTGACTGTGCTCTTCTCCACCAGGGAACAAAGAGTGACTGGGATCATTGTCTTCATCCTGACAGGGACCTCTGTTTTCCTGGCTCCTGTCCTGAAGGTGAGGCTCTGCATCCCACCCAGGGCCCCGTCACACCTGAAAAGACACAAAGCAGAAGACTCAGGCATGGGGAGTGTCCCTACACAACCCAGATATCACTGGCCAACCGATCCCTAAAAAGGCAGGATTTTCAGTAGGCTAAAGTGATATTTCAGAGCCATTGCCACTGTTCTCTGTAAAGTGGTATCATCTGTGATCATCACCCATCCTCTCTGCTCTCTCACAGCCGCCCACACTCTCACCTTCCCAGAGGACACTGTCCCCTGGGAAAATTCTGCCAAGTTCTGTCCCTGCTTAGATCAGGAATCACCCAAGCTCACTGGAGGCCTTCTTGCTCACCCATTTTCTGAAGTTTAAACCTCTGAGAGGAGAACTCTTAAGCTGTGTTCCAGGCCTATTCTCTGCTCCTCTGATTTGAATTTGTCGAGCTCCTAAGTGACTTTTTCCCATACAGTTGGAAGATTCTCTTGCTCATGTCCCACTGGACCCGCTGGAAGAGACTAACTACAACAGGGGGACATTGAGCCAGAATGGTCACTTTCCAGTCAGGACTAGGGTGTTCCCACCAGTTCTCTCAACTGCAGCCAGTCGCCTATCAATGGCCCTTTCCCTCAGTCAGTGCACACATAAGACTTTCATTGCTGAATTAAGGTTACCTGTAATTGCTCCAATCTTTGCGGTTCTTTTCCCTCTCTGAATGTCTTAAAACAGCTCATTTTGGGGTTGACCTTATTAAAAGACAAAGACTAGAGAACCATGATGCTAATTGATTCATTTAGTATAAAAAAAATATTTCTGGCTTGAGAATCAGTGCTGGGCACACCTGAGCAATTGGTTTAAGGTTGGGGAGTTTTAAAGAAATGTTTTCATTGTGTAGGAGACAGGTTACACACAGATGGTTTCGTTTATTTAAGAGTGTATTTTAAATGGCCAGAGAATGCTGACTTTTGTGGAAAGGGCTCAAAAGAACCATCATGCGTATCATTCCTGATACCGCCTGACAAGCATTTGTGTAAAAAAATAATTTGAACCTAAAAACAGCATACTTTAGTGGCCAAAAGTTACTAGAAACACTTTGCACATAGCACCTCTGGCTATCTTTGCAGACTCAGACTTCAGGCAGTCCCAGGCAGGCCACCCAGCTGCTGAGCATGTTCATTAATTCAGTCTTTGCACACGAGCTTTTGATGCATAGCTGAATAGAAACAAAGCAGTTAGAAAATTCCACTATGGTTTCCTTCCTTTTGTTCCTTTTACAACATGATGGATTCTTTCATGAACACATTTCTCATATTCTGTGTATACATTTTCTAGGCCTTTACACTCACACTTTTGACCTCTGATTTTAGTAAATTATTGTTTTTGTTCTAATGTTGTATATCTTCTTAATGTAGGTCACATGCTGACTGCAGTATAATTAAAATAATTGAAATGAGGGCTGTGGGGTATAACTCAGTGGTACAGCACTTACCTAGCTAGCATGCAGGAAGTCCTGGGCTTGATCCTCCGCCCTATAGGAAAAAAAAGAAAAGAACAAAAAAGAAGAAGAAGAAGAAGAAGAAGAAGAAGGAGGAGGAGGAGGAGGAGGAGGAGGAGGAGAAGGAGAAGGAGAAGGAGAAGAAGGAGGGGAGAAAGGAAAATAGTTCTGTGCATAAAATTTGCATTGCTAAAGCCTTTGGTGTGGTCATCCTTTAAATGATGTACAGTCACATTGCTCCCTCTTGGGTGACATTTTGAGCAATAATAGAAATTCCCTTTTGTTACAATTCTTGGGCCAAATGTTGTAACTCTTTCAAGCTGTGTACTGTATTTCTCTATAAATGTATGCACCTTGTAAAATACATTGTTTAAAGAGAGTAAGTCAGATATGGGGAAATGTTATTGTTCTGACAGTCAAGGAAAAGTTTGCAAGGTTCCATATGGCTCCAAGTGCTTTGATAGTATCTTTGCATTCAATCAAAGCACAAAAGGATTTGAAAATCTGCCCACCAGTATTCTTCCAGAATAAGAGTACCCCCCCAAAAAAAAGATCAATACACTTGATTTATCCAACGTTTAATCTATTTGACAAATTTTGTAGCAGAACTGACCTGTCTAGGGTTTTAAATTATAAGATTTAGGATTTCTGATTCAATTTTATTAAGGTATGTACTTTTTTTATAAAGCTAGGCTTTCAAAACTGTTAGCTAACTAACTAAAGCATAATTAGTAACTGACATCAGTACTAAATACTGGATTCATTTTATATTTAAGACAAGAAATTTGGTGTAGCTGTTCAAGAAAAATATAATTAATCAAGACGTGAGATCCTAGACTCTATCTAGGAGCTTCTCTCTCTGCCCCTTCCCCCTCTTGTTCTGTATCAATGAATGGTTGTGTTGATATTAGACAATAATTTTTATTGTTAGAGGATCAGTGATATTCTTTAGGCCTTCCATCACTGATTTGTAAATATTTCATTATCTTGTCAAACGAAGCTTCAGTAGGAGGAAGTGAGCATGTATTTGATGGGTGATGTAAATTACTTAACATATTGAGCAAATTTCCCAGTCCACCCCAAGGCTGTGAAGTTTTGTTTTGTTCACACCTTCCCATGGCTTTTTGAGACCGAGGATTTCTGCATTCTGCCTCAGAGGAACTCCTATGACGCCTTAAAACTCCCTTATGGACCCCATGTTATTCTCCTGGTCCCTAACATTACAGAGGAAAGTTCTGACATCCTTATGATTGTAGTACTGTGATGATTGTTGATCTAAAGCTGACACTAGAGGTAACTTTCTGCCACTTTTTAGTTTCATTAATGTTTGAAAAGGGCCTTTTCCTGGACAGTCAAGGAAGATTTGTGCTGATGAATCCAGAATTCTAGATCACAGCCCTATCACTGGTAGGAAGAAGAAGAAGAAGAAGAAGGAGAGAAAGGAAAATAGTTCTGTGCATAAAATGTTATAGGCATTTGGGATTTTCTGGGAAAGTTGCAAATTACAAGACAATTTCCTTGACTTGAAAATGAGGTAACTTTTTATCAGTCACTGATGACTACAAATCATTTAAGACTTAATCCAGTTTGTTTTCACACTTAGTAGAGTAAAAAGGGAAATTGTAAGTGAACTTGAGTTTGTGTTGCTACAGATGATAGCTAAGTTTTTAAATTTAAGTGTTTATTTCTCTCTCAATTGCCTCCACACTTTGAGGGTGATTAGGACAGTGATTCCTTAAAATTTTTACCTTATCTCATAATTTGGCAAAAATCTCATAAACTATGTGCTAATGAAATGATGGAAGGGCCACATATTTCCTTTTATTTTTTTTTTGGGGGGGGGGTACTGGGGATTGAACCCAGGGCACTTTACCACCAAGCTACCTTACCAGGTCTTGCTAAATTGCTTAGGGCCTTGCTAAATTGCTGAGGCTGGCCTCAAACTTACAATCTTCCTGCTTCAGCCTCCTGAGTCACTGAGATTATGGCTGTGTGCCACTGGCATATATTTCCTTTTTTAACCTTTAGTTCAAATGTCTTGGATTGTTTATAGCATGTAGGTCCAAAGTGTGCTTTGTATGCAAACAAATATAACTTATCCTAAAATAGAAGTTATTTACTTGTCTGGATTCATTAACATTCTTAAATGGCATCTACAAGTTGAGCAGCCCTTGTTAGCATCATACTTTGTGATCACCAAAGAGTTCTACCACAACCCAGAGCAAGGCAGGACAGCCTTTGTTCACAGTGGCAAGAATTGGGTACAGCTAAAGGAGAGGATAAAATAGCAGAAATACAGCTTGGACAGAGGTGAAGAAATGCCTCAAAAAGTTTTTAAAAGCCAGGTGTGGTGGTGCACATCTATAATCCCAGTGACTTGGGAGGCTGAAGCAAGAGGATCACAAGTTTGAGGCCAACCTAAGCAACTTAGCAAGGCCCTGTCGCAAAATAAAAAATAAAAAAGCTGGGGATGCAGCTCAGTGGTAGAGTGCCTCTGGGTTCAATCCCTAGTACTCAAAAAAAAAAGAGTTTTAAAGATTTGAAATGCTGGGGACAGGATTGTGGCTCAGTGGTAGAACACTTGCCTAGCATGCATGAGGCATTGGGTTTGATCCCCGATACCACATAAAAAATAATAATAATAATAAAATATTTTCTAGTTGTGTCCATCTACAACTAGAAAATATTTTTTTAAAAAGATTTGAAATGATGATGGTAGTGCAGTATGAATTACATGAATCTACTTTTGAAAAAGAAAACAACTGCTGATGTGTGTGCACATCAAACTCCTACTGTTAGTTGATGATTAGTGGTTTTTATGTTACTAACACATTTGTTGGTCCCCCTGGAATATAGAACTTAAAGGGGTCCTTTTTCCATTCAATATCACAAAGCAAGTAACTAGACTGACTTGAGCATCCATGGCCCGAGCCTTTATTCAGTGACTGAAGAATGGAGAAGTAGGTTCCCAGCTCACATTTGACTTAACTTACTTAGAGCTGATAAGTTGGGTATAGAGCAGCAGAAATGAGGGGAGGGAATAGGTTAATGAAGGGAAGGAATATTCATGTAATTTCCTGCAACAGGTAGAGACTTCTACAAATTCAGATGCACTCTCCTTTTTGATCTACTGTTTCTGGACACTGTGTGGCCAGTGAGCGTGTCTTTAGCATGGAAACTAGATTTTAATGAAGCTGGAGATCAGCTGTTACTCTGGCAAACATTTTAGATCCAACTGGTTTTGGCTAGCCTACCTGAAGAGGAACTTTTGGTGTTCAGACATCCTGTCATCAAAGGATGAGGTAGAGATTTAGTAGGCAGTACCCTGGGCAACAGTTTACATACTTCTGTTTTGCTTCTTTTTTGTGATTGTGTATGATATGTGATTTTTGTTAAGTGGCCTTGGTACTTCCTATGATTTAGGTCAACTCACCAAAGGTCCCTGGCCCCCTGCAGGCCCAGCAGCTTTAGGGGCCTCAGCTAAGGCTGAAAGTGGAAGGGGCTGGCAGGAATAAGCAGTTTGTGGAGCTTTCCCACTTTCTAGAAATGTCTTCAGCCAGACCACAGGGCTCCCGTGGGGCTGGGAGATGGGCCAGACCGGAAGAACAGCAGCATGCTGTGCATCCCCACCTGCACCCACACTCTGGTTCCAGATCTTCTCTCAGACACCCTCAGTTCCTCCAAATATACACCTCCTTGGCTGCCTCTATGGTTGGCAGACACATTTGTCCAGAACAAGGAGACCAAGGACTCATCCCAGGCAGAAGTTCAATCCAAAATTCTGCTCTCATTTCAGTACATCCCCATGCCTGTGCTGTATGGAGTCTTCCTCTACATGGGCGTGGCCTCCCTGAATGGCATCCAGGTAAGGCCCTCCCCTCCCCACCTGAAGTCAGCACTCCCTAGTGTCACCAAGACCCCAAATTCTTACTCTCCTGGTTCAGTGAAAGAATAATAGCAATATTCTATGTGAAGCAAAATAATTATATGAGGCACTTTACAGGTGTCATTTAATCTATATAATTAGGTCCTTTGATCCCAACCTCACAGGTGGGGAGACTGCAACTCATAACTCAAAACCTGGGTCAAGCCAACTCCAAAGAGCACTTCACTGTACCTTTCTCTTCTCTTCCCTAAGACAACTCCACAGAAGAAAGTTTTTTGCTTTGTTTTGTTCTATATTAACCACAAAATCCCAAGATGACTTGGATAGTTCATGGGTCCATTAAATTGCATTTTCCTTGAACAGACCATGTTCATTTTGCAGCCCCACCTCCAGGTCCATTACCCTCACCCAGGCCTCAGGATCCTCCCTCCCTCCAATATTGCATACCTGTCTAGACACCTCCAGAGTGTCTTACTTAATGCCTGAACAAGAGTCCCCTCCTGAGACCCTACCAAGTCACCCCTTCCCTTAACCCCATACCCCAGCGGACCTGCGGAGGGATGTCGGGGCGGGGAATATTTCCTGGCAACCTTGCTGAGCCCTCACTATCCTTGTTAGTTCTGGGAAAGATGCAAGCTCTTCCTGATGCCGGCGAAGCACCAACCAGACCACGCCTTCCTTCGCCACGTACCCCTACGCAGGATCCACCTTTTCACCCTGGTGCAGATCATCTGCCTGGCTGTGCTTTGGATCCTCAAGTCCACTGTGGCCGCCATCATCTTCCCTGTCATGGTAAGGTGGGCGCGGGCTTCGCCGCTGCTGGGCAGGTTGGTCTAGGCAGGCTTCGCCTAGGAGGTCCAGCAGTGCCACAAGTGCGTCACCTTGCAGCACCCTTAGCTTTCTCCCCAGTGGCTTGGTTTGGTTCCTTTGGGTGACAGAAGCCAGTCCAGAACAAATTTAAAGTTGTGAGGCCAGACCAGGTGGAGGATAGAGAGAAGGGTGGAGGAAAGAATGTCAGTGTGGCAGGTGGATCCTGCAGTGACAACCCGCATGCTGAGGTCCCCACCCAACTTTCCTGCTGGGGGAAGGCCGGAATGTGGAGAAGCTGGACACATTCAACTTCAGACCCGAATTCTCTACTGCCAAACCTCAAGCCAATCTCGAAAGCCGATGCATACTAAATATAAATCTTCTCTCCGTGCAAAATTAACGAATTTGAAATGGTAAATAGTATGTTAGTGGTGCAGAGAGGGAACAGAATCAGAGATCAGGAATTTCAAAAACCCAATGACAATATAAAGTTTGAGCTGGGCATTCTTTGACTATTCTTTTATATTTTATGGAAATTCGAAGTTATTCCAGAATAAAAAGTTAAAAACAGCCATGCCTGTAATCCTAGTGGCTGGGGACACTGAGGCAGGAGGATTGCAAGTTCAAAGCCAGCCTCCGCAATTTAGAGAGGCCCTAAGCAACTCAGCAAGACCCTGACTCAAAATAAAATATAAAAAATGCTGGAGATGTTGGGCTAGGGTTGTGGCTTATAGGTGGAGGGCTTGCCTAGCATGCATGAGGCACTGGGTTTGATTCTCAGCACCCCATAAAAATAAAGGCATTGTATCCATGTACAACAAAAAATATTTTTAAAACAATGCTGAGGGTGGGGATGTGACTCTGTAGTTAAGTACCCTGGGTTCAAACCCTGGCACTAAAAATAAATAAATAAGGGCTGGGATGTTGCTCAGTGGTTAAGCCCCCTGGGTTCAATCCCTGATCAAAAACAAACAAACAAATAAATAAATAAAAATAAAAACAAACAAAAACCTGTTGCATCTGGCCCTCTAGATAACCCCACCAGAAGGAAGCTGCCCAGCCCTTGCTGGGGGACTGAAGCTTGGGGGCTAATGCTCCCAGAAAGCCTGCAGGCCTAGGTTAGGAACCAAATCAAGGACACTTGTGGAAATGTGCACTCCTAGGAGATCTCTAGTAAGTGGTTCTTGACTCTGGCTGCTCTTTAAAAACTATGAAATCAACTAAATCAGAATATCTTCAAGAATCCCAGGCTTTGGTATTTTAAGTAAGTCTACAGGGAGCATAAATATGCAGCCAGGGTTGAGATCCACCACTCCAGGGAAAGGGACATGGATCCTCCCCAACAGTATCCTCCTGGGCCTCAGAGATTAGGAAGGGAAGGATAGTGATAGTCATGATTGCCAGTACTGAGTGCTGTTCCACTCAGCCCACACCAGCCCCTGAAGCACTACTACTTACCCATAGTTTACGATCAGAAAGATGAGGCTCAGAAAGCACAGGGAATGACAAACTCAGGACAGGACAGAGCAAGATCTGCACCCCTCCTGGCCTTTTTTTTTTGGTACCCAGGATTGAACTCAGGGGCACTTGACCACTGAGCCACATCCCCAGCCCTACTTTGTATTTTATTTAGAGACAGAGTCTCACTGGGTTGCTTAGTGTCTTGATTTTACTGAAGCTAGCTTTGAACTCTCTATCCTCCTGCCTCAGCCTCCCAAGCTGCTGGGATTACAGGTGGGCACCACTGTGCCCAGTGCTCCTGATTATTTTTAAATACAGTAGAATTCACTCTGCTCTGTAGTTTTGGCAAATGTAAAGAATGGTGATTCTACCACTGTAGCTGTGATACAGAACAGCTCCATCACCCCCAAGTTCTCTCTTGTTGCCCTATATGTAGACAACCCTTTGCCACCCCTGTCCCTAGCAACCATTGATTTGCTCAGAGTCAGGAGTTTATTGTTGTTGTGGTGTTTTGATTTTTTTTTTTTTTTTTTTTTGTGGTACTGGAGATTGAACCTAGGAATGCTCTGCCACTGAGTTACATCCCCAACCCTTTCTTAGTTTTTTATTTGGGACTGGGTCTCTCTAGGTTGCCAAGGCTGGCCTTAAGCTTGCAGTTCTCCTGCCTCAGCCTTCCAATTAGGTGTGCACCACATGCCCTGCCAGATCCAGGAGTTTTTAAACCCAGGTTTATCTGACGCCTGAGCTCTTCATGCTCAAAAAATTATATCAGTGAGGAACCAGTATTAAATCCAGCTAGAAGGGTTTGCTTCCTTGCCTCATTTAATGGCCAGTTTTCAGTGGTAAAAAAGACAATATGTATAACAGACCATCCTGGGTCCACTGAATTTGTTAAAAGATCACTTATTTCTCCCTTTAATTTGTCCATTCTGAACAGAACCAAACTTTCTTTAGAAATTCCATATAGCTTACTATATTTTATTTGGCTTTTGTTAATGGAGAGTTTGACAGTTCTTAAAAATGGGAACAGAGCAATTCACAATGGCCAGGCTATGGAACCAACCTAGGTGCCCTCCAATAGATGAATGGATAAAGAAAATATGGTATATATACATGGTGAAATATTACTCAGCCATAAAGAAGAATGAAATAATGGCATTTTCCAGTAAATGGATAGAACTGGAGTCTATCATGTCAAGTAAAATAAGCCAATCCCCAAAACACCAAAGGTTGAATGTTCTCTCTGATATGTGGATGCTAACACACAACAAAGGAGGATGAGGAAGGGAAGGATAGAAGTTCATTGGATTAGACAAAGGGGAATGAAGGGACAGGAGGAGGGATGGGAATTGGAAAGACAGTAGAATGAATCAGATATAACTTTCCTACATTCATATATGAATACATGACCAATGTAACTCCATATCATGTTCGACCACAAGAATGGGATCCTAATTAGAATAAGTCATATTCCATGTCTGTATAACATGTCAAAATGCACTATACTATATCAAAAAAGAACTAATTTTAAAAAGAAAAGAAATGGGAGTAGAGAGGCAATGGGTCTCAAAATGTGATCCCTGGGCCAGCAGCACTAACATCACCTGAGAAACTTATAGAGATACAGATTCTCAGGCTCTACCCCAGACCTGATGAATCAGAAACTCTGGGGTGGTACCCAGCAATGTTGTATTAACAAGCCCTCCAGGTGACCCTAAAGCACACTCAAGTGTGAGAACCACTTAAAGAATGACTATGGTTCTCCAGCCATGGTCTCTGTGCTGGCTCCCCACTTCAGCTGACACAGGCTCTGTCCCACACAGTCACTGGTAGTCATAGTCACTCACCTGGGAAGCCAAAGGAGAGGAACCAGGGGAGCAGGGGAGGTGAACATGGTTTGTGGGGACTTTGGAATGGCTCCAAAGACCGATCACAAGAGCTGCCTGAACTCAGCTGACTGAGGAAGAAGGAATTATTTAGCCTATCATTTTCTCTGAACTCTCACAAAACTTCAGCCTCTCTGTCTTCTACCACAGATCCTGGGCCTCATCATTGTCCGAAGGCTTCTGGACTTCATCTTCTCCCAGCATGACCTGGCCTGGATTGACAACATCCTGCCAGAGAAGGAGAAAAAGGAGACAGACAAGAAGAAGAAGAGAAAGAAAGGGGCCCACGAGGATAGCGATGAGGAGGTGGGGAAGATATGAGGCCTGGGCAGAGTCTGGGGACCAATAGATCCTTCTGCTTCCACCAGGGCCAGGGAGAGGGTGGCTTTTCACGCAACTGTAAGAGTGCCTGCACCCAGTCCAGGATAAGCTAGGGCTTCTACTTGGCCTTGGTCTGGGATGCTGAGAGCTCATCTGTTCTTGTAAATGTCCTCAGGTTGGGCCAGAGCCAGTGAGCCTCCCTGCCCAGGAGCAGTTGACTAGCAAAGCTCACTCCCATTTCTGGTTTTCAGGGCCATTGTCAATAGTGGCACAGATTCCTGAGAGAATGGCCCAGGAGATGGTTCCAAAATGGAAGCCCTTTATAAGGAGTATCCTCCAAAGAATGGAGCAGGCCTGTGGGGAGAGGTCTGATGGGGACTTTTAAGTAGACTGGACTCTGGGATAGGCAGGAGGAACTAGAGATAAGCTTTGCTTGGGCCTACCCCGAAAGTATTGGGAACAAAAATTGGGGGAGAGGTATGTGTCCTCACTGAAAAGAGAATGGCTTCCTCTTCCATGCCTGGGACCACCTGATTGCCCCATCTATCCCTCTCCTCTCCCATGCTTCCTCCACATCCCACCCCCAAACACTCAGTCAGCAGACAAGGAGCCAGCTAGAAGTTATAGCAAATCTCAGAACATTAGGCAGAAAGAGTATCTGGTTCAAATGTTCATTACAAATGGTGACACTGTCCCTCCAAAGGGAAGTGTTTTACCCAACATAGACAGACAGCTAAATGTCTAAGAGGGAATTAGGAAATCATTCTTGAACTCATGCTTTCCATATACTGAACTGCCATGTCATTTCCTGAGACCATGCCTGACTCCCAATCTCCCGGTCTCCCAATTGTATCTGAATCACAATCCTTTATCCACCTTGTCCTGTTTTCCTGGGATCTCACCTTTTGCAAATTAAAGCTGTTCACAGGCAAATCCTTGCTCACTGGTTGGTGATTAAACCATCCTTTGATGGTTGTAATTGGCCAAAACTTCCTCTGTCTTGCAGGAAGGGGAAGGTCTCAATTTTTTTATTTGTTTATTTTTTTATGTGGTGCTGAGGATTGGAACCGAGTGCCTCACATGTTCTAGGCAAGCGTTGTACCCCTGAGCCACAACCCCAGCCCCCTTATAATTTATTCACATGTTTTTTTGTAGATAATTTTCAAAAGTAGATTCTAAAAGAAAGAAACAGAGTCCAGGTGTCTTTTAAAGACAAATGCTTATTTTTTTTTTCATTGGTTCATTCAGTAAATATTGGAGTGGATCTCAAATGTCAGGAACTATTCCAAGGTTGAGGGTAAAGCATCTCAGGATTATGTGATACATTTAATGGAAAAAAATGGGATTCAATGTTCACAAATTCATTTTATACATGTCTTTATAGCAACACAGATATTGTGAGGTTCAGTCCCAAATGACTGGTTGCATGATAGATGAAACTGTTCTGAGGAGCGACATTCCTGGATGAATTCCTTTCCTGTCTACTGGGTATCTAAAATGGTGGGCCAATTGTGTCCATTTTTCCTTAGTGGGTCCAAGAGCATTTGCAGCACCCCCTGTTTAGTCTGAATGTGGAGGAATGGTGGTTTGCACATTGTGGATGCATGCATTTTCCATTTGGCAAGAAAGACAAAGTGGTTGTGTTGGTGTTTATCAGCTTTTCCCACTGTTTTTCTCCAGCCCCAGTTCCTCCCTCCCTCAGTTATAAAGATTCCCATGGAAAGTGTCCAATCAGATCCCCAAAACGGTATCCACTGCATTGCCAGTAAGTAAAACACATGGTGTCTCTCCCTTCTTACTCACTACTAATCCTCCACCTATTTTCCTAAGGAGCTTCCATCTGTAACTCAGGGGATCTAATCATTTTATATGCCAGAGTGATGAACCCAGCCTAATTCCATCTTAAGATTGGGAGCCATCTCGTCACAAAGTCATGAAAAGTTAATTTCTGTTTTACAATAAATTATTGTGATTTCTAAACTTGCTTGGAATGCCAGCCCATGCCTTGAACTCACCCATGCCTGGTTTTCCCTGACCAGATAACAACCCTCTCTGAAACCTTAGTGGCGCCTCATAAATTCTGGTGTTGGGATCTGAATTTACTCTCTAACTTGAAATGTTGTATTATCCTTGTCAAAATCCTATTATCTGTAAGTTCTCAAGACACCCACCTTTTGTAACTTTTTGTGCTATAAAACCATGTTCCTAGAGAGCTGGGGTACTGTTCTCTAACCCAAGGATTTCGGGAGAGACAGTCCCGGCTGGAATTACAAGCCTGCTTTAATTTGATTTAAAATTGGAGTCGGTGGTCTTTTCTTTGCGTCGTGGTTAAACAAGAGGACTCCTGTGATAGGCAGAGGTTAAAGTGAACTGGGCCATGAGGGTTGGGACTCCAACCAGATGAAAATTTCAGAGCACACCCTGAAGTCTACTCCTTCACTTTAGGCAAAACTCCCCCATTTCTGCCTTTCCTCTGGCGCCTGCAGCACCATCCTGCCCTTTCCTGCCTTGTTTCAGACCACATCAGTCCACCTGGCCCATGGAGCTGCCCATATCTTCCAGTCATTGTTGAAATGATTGCAAGCTCAAATCAGAGCTGAGTGTTCCCCTTTAGAGAAATAGGTAGGCATCTGGGCAGCAAGTCAGAACTGAAGGTCCTGGGGTTGGGCTGTGATTCTGTATGAAGCACAAGCATCCTCCATGTGCTGAAAGAGAAGGCTTCCAATCAGGCATTGCTTACAAAGACCCTGCAAGATTCTCAAACTGCTTCTAATCCTTCCCAACTGCTGGACAGTGCTGTCTTTAAGACCACACAAATATCCTGATCCAAATCCTGACCTGGTGCTCCTAAGATAGTGCTTACTTACCACTGTCCTCAAAGACAGAGACTGGGGGAGGTCACCAGAACTCCTGCCAGGACACTCCAGAGCCCCAGAGGCTTCCCCTCACCTCTCTCCATCACATTGCCTCAAGGTGTTTTTTGTACTCCTCACTCTCCCTCCACCTGCCTCCTGCCTCAACCTCCCAAGCTGCTGAGATTACAGGCATGTACCATGCACCACTGGCTCCCCATTCCCTTTTGTTGACTTCCATCATCCTTCCTCTCTCCTCCCTGGGCCTCCCCATGCCTCACTTCCTCCTATCCTGGCTCAGATCCCTCTCTGTGAAGGATTAATTGACCCAGAGCCACCCATCTCTGTGAGGCCCCAGTATTCCTCTGGTATACTGTTGGCCATGGATCACAAAATAGAAAAGAGGAGGAATGGTGGGGAAGCACGGAGAAATAGGATGCTCTCTGGCGTGACTCTCAGATCTGCTTCACATCTGACTTTTTCTTCCAGGAAAAAGATCTTCCAGTTGGAGTTATTCACTCTGATTCTTCTTTCAGTGGCTCAGAACTCGATCGAAGGTAAGGGCTATTAGGTAGATTCCTTGGGTATTAGCTAAGAGACTAAGGAATGGTCAGATTGGGGGACTAGGATTTCCCAGTCCAGCTGACATCTTAGTAGAGGAAGACAAAGGCTGACCAACCTGATTATTGGGGGGGTCAAGTAACAAATGTGTCTTCTTACTGACATCAATCACACAGTGACAAGCATCTTTCATGTGCTGATAGAGTACACAACTTTAGAAAAGGAAATTTAAAATATTATGTAGAATACTGAAAGTAAGTATTGAAAAAAAAGGAAACAACATACAAGAAAGTTAGACATAGCTTAAGTACATGTTAATAAAAGCCCAGATACTAAGGATCAAAATACTAGGTTCGCAGGGTACAATGGCGCACACCTCTAATCCAGGCAGCTCAGAAAGCTGAGGCAGGAGAATCACGAATTTAAAGCTAGCCTCAGCAAAATTAGGTGCTAAGCAACTCAGTGAGACCCTGTCTCGAAATAATATACAAAATAGGACTGGGGATATGGCTCAGTGGTCGAGTGCCCCTGAATTCAATCCCTGGTACCAAAAACAAAAACAAAAGCAAACCCACTAGTTATTCTAATACTCTATGGGGTCACATAACAGCAGGACCAATTATCACTGGTCATAAGGAAAGCTAATTAAAAATCAAATATTAAATGAAGATAGAAAGTCAAAAAAGGATTCAAGACCTATGCCAACAATGTGATTCCATGGTGTTCTTGATGGTTAACTATCCATGAAAAAAGCAGAACTGCTTGATGATTATACAGGGGGCCCAAAAATGAAAAAGAATTCAGGGACAAGGAAGTCTTTGCCTATTATTACTAGGGAAGCTGGCAGGGACTGTGCTAACCCTAATGTATTATTCCCTAAATTGGACAAGGAGTCATTCTGTATAAGATCCAATTCGTAAGTGTAGAGGTATCCCAATTACAGAGGCAGGTAATTTTCCATCCTTAGATAGCACTCAAGAGTTTTTCAGGAAGCATATAGGATCTCCTGAATTTGGGGGCAAAGCTGCTTCACAATGCTAAAATGGAGATACTTTTCACCAGTTCAAACCTCTGAGCTGCAGGCTCAAGGACACTATATCTCAGAAGTGTCACATCTCAAAATATGTTCCTTCATATCCCATAACTCCAATCTGGGCTCCTAAGCCCTTACTGACACTGATCTTTATGTATGGATAGTCACAGAATAACAATTTGTCTATCCTGATTTATCTTCATTTAAAAAATAGTCTACACCAAATCAAATCTCTTAATTGCCCCCAATTTTAGGCAGTGGAGAATTTGGACCAGGAAAGGGCATTTCCAAATGCCTGATAAATTATACAGAGCTATGGTAGGGGTCAGAAATGGAAAAAAAAAAAAAGTCATAACTGGATATTTCCCAATCACACTGGTGCCTTACCCAGTCTATGGAATTAGATGGAAGCAAAGATGACTAAATAGCAGGATTTTGCTTTGGTAAAGAAAAATGCTTAGCAACATGACCCAGTTAAGTAAGGTTGAGCATCAGAGATCTACCAGGCATGATAGTTGGTCCCTGGGGTTGTAGAGGGACATGTAAACAGAAGGGGAGTACCATGTGCAAGAACAAGAATGGGTACACAGGAGAGAAGGCCAGTGGTCTAAGGAAGGTTATTAGCCTTATCAGGAGAATCTACCACAGATAAATAGGACCCTGACAGAAGTACAGTGTGGGACAGAGCATCTTAGGCAGTGGGAACATGTCTGAAGCACCATTTGAAAACATACAACACAAAGAGGGGACAGAGTGGCACTCAAACTAGGAAAGTAGGCAGGAGTTCAAGCATAGGTGGCCCTGTCTTGCTTAGGAGCTTGGATTTTATTCTTTAAATAATAGGGAACCAGTCAAATTTGTGATTTAGAAAGTTCGACTTGGTAGCAATTTGAAGAATGGGTTGAAAAGGCATGAGATCAGTTCAATGGCTGTGGCTAAAAGCCCAGCAGACTGGATGCTTTGTTTCCTTGGTGTGTTGAGAATTCATAAGCAAAGACAGAACTGTTTGCATTAGAGCCCTGCTCTGGAGAATAGGGTTCAAAACACCCCAAATTAGCTAATCATTCTTCCCTCCTCCTCTTTCTTGTTCAGCATCACCTTGCACTTCAAAATCTCCTGTCCAACTTCACCTGCTTTCAGCTATCCCAGGAGCCCAGTCTTCATGGTGCCACAGGTGAAGATAGAGATGGAGTCTGACTATGACTTTACAGACATAGAAGAATATGGAAGAGAGGCCCACGGTGAGACCACCCTTTAGGATGATGCAGCTTCTCCCTGCCTGGGCAAGGGCCTGGTTTAGTTTTAATTGAGTCTTAACTTCTCTGTGCCTGTCTCGTTATGTACCGGAGTGGGTCCTTCTGCCCTATAGAAAACTGGCCATCCTTCAGTGGAAAGTCCTACTTAGATGCAAAGCTCTCTTCATCCCTTTGTAGTTATTACAATATCTAAATGTAAACATTATACCTTATTTTAAAATGCAGTTCAGCATAGAAATCATAACATTTCTTTTGAAATGAAAAAAAAAATGCTTGCCTCTTAAAACCATAAGATAAATGGGCAATAGTCAATTTTATACTTAAGACAAGTATTAATTAAAAATTTTAAAGGTTAGATTGAAATCTAGGTGGTTTTAAAGAACTCTTAACATACTCTTACAATAGGCCAAGGCTGGAATATTGTTTTGCAAAATTGCATATTTTTATGCAATTTTGGTTGGCTTTAACAGGTTGACATGTTATTACTTCTCCATGCAGAGTGATGCTGGAAAGGTCCTACCTTTTCTCTGAATCTCATTCAGCTCAGTTTGAATCTGCATTGTGGGCCTTGGTCTAGAAGTGTGACTGGGGCTTTCCTAGATTGAAAAGCCAGTTCCAAAAGTCTGTTAATGAAGGAACCAATGCATCAGAGTGGATAAAGTTTTTTAAAATGAAATAGTCACTGTTAAAGTGAACCTCAAATCACATGAGATCCACAAAGTGATCCTTTAAATTTATTCACTGTTTTTTTTTTCACACCTGGATTCCAATTTCTTTATTTGGAATAGGTCCTTCCTACAAGTTTTCAATGACTGATCCTCAAAGTCAGATTTCTATTTACATGAACATTACATGTTAGGCAGCTAACACTTTGGAAAATTATAACTTGGCAATGTTAGTCAAACTAGTCCTTTAAAAGAATGATTAGAAGCAATTTGGGTAGATTAACACCAATTATTAATGAAGCAGACCCTTTCCCCATTAAACTTAAAAAGATTAGACATTTTAGGTTTAATACACATTGAATGAGTGAGCACCAACTGTTTATGTAATACCTGCTATTGCCAGATAACCACATGCATCTGACATTTTCTTCTCCAAAACAACTATGGATTTGAATTTTCCTTAAATTTAACCTCAGAGCTCCCTTCCAAGGAATACTGCCAAGAGGTAAAGCTCTAAACTTCTACCTGATAGCAAAATTATTTAGCTGTTCACTAATCCAGAACCATCCTATTTAAGTACAAAGTCTTTATCTTCATTTGTACCAATCCTGGGAGAGCTAACAATCTAACATTTAAGTTTTAAAGCCTGGCTGATTTGAAATAGTACTGTCCCCATTAAATTGTAGAAATGTTATGGATTCAGGAGTAAATGTGCTTGATTAATAAAACAAACTGGAAAAGTATGATGTTAGTTTTTTGTTGTAAATTGATCCATGTAATTTTTACCTTATATATCCTTTATATTTTGTATATACATGAACATTTTAAGTCTTTAACAGGTTGACATGTTATTACTTCTCCATGCAGTAATTTTTTCCACTTTTAATGTAACTAAAATTCAATAAAAATTAATCCTGTCTGCTCATCTGACTCCAGGTTTAATAATTTAGGAAAGTCAGCAGGCAAGACATATAGACATAAGCTATACCTCACTTACAAAAATATCGCCAACAAACTAGCAAAAGAATAAAGCAAGCTAGAAGAGCACAAGGAAGGAGCAGATCAACTCCCCAGAGTTCTCTCCCTTTTGGCTTCAAACTGCCTAGAGCAGGAGCTACTTGCATGAAAGTGCAGATACATAGCTGTGATTCATAATACGCAGGGGCCTATGTCAAGTATCAGGATGTGCACCACACCGTCCCTAATCAAACTGATACTTTAAACACATGCACACGCATGCACGTGCACACACACACACACATGCACATACACACACAGGGTGGGCAGAGGTGGTGATGGGGAAATAAATTTACTTTTACTATGTATGTGTGTGTTGAGAACACAGAAAGGAGAAAATCCTTTGTAGTGATGTGTAAATTGAATGCCTGGTTTAGAAAACACTCAGAACCATTTCAATGAAATTTACAGATTAAGTTCCTAGTTTGACATTACCTGCTGGGATTAAGGACTAGGCTGGTTTCTTCACAGTTCTTTAAACCAATTTGTTTAAGGTTAGAGGCTGGGTGTTACCAAATATAGAAATAACTAGATTATATCCAATGAGAAAAGTTCACTCTGGTTAGACTACAACTAAGACAGTAGTAGGAGACAGTATTTCAGAAATTCATTCCACACCAGACAAATGTGTTTTATTTAAAAAAAACAAAAACAAACAAAAAAAACCCACCTTTCTTTAAAAAACAAAAACACACACACCAAAAAAACTTTCATCAGAAAGTCTAAATTCAATATTAACTCAAGCTCTTTAAAAATCTTTCAGGAAAGCTCACAGAAAAGCAGGCAGCTGTGACAGTTCTTTGGTGGAAAAGTTGCATATTTACACCAGCTGCCCAGTGATTATCAAGCCCAAGTGTTATTTTTCAAAAATAGGTTTCAAGACATAACAAAGAACCATACAGATACCCACTAAAATACAAAAACTGAATAATAAAGTTTAAGGATATAGCAAAATGGATTTAGCAAAAAGGATACAGCCAAATATGGCAATACACATGAATAATTTATAAAACAAGCCTTTCAATCCTAGAAAACTACAATGGGGAGAACTCACTGAAGGCCAAGGAACACAAAGCAATAGCAAATGGAACAACCCAAGACATTTCCTAACAACGAAGCCAAAAAATAAAAAAAAGACAGCTAGTAATGTTGTTTTTCTTTTTTCCAGCCAATTCAGTTCCCTTTGGATAAATTTGGTTATTGATCAATATGTATAAAAATTATGGTGACTTTTTTTTTCCTCTACTCTATTACCATTTCTTCCTTTCCCCTAATTTTCTCTAACATTTTTTTTTTCCTTTGGTTTGACCAGTTGAACTCAAAAGGCTTGGAACCTAAAATGAGTATCAACTCTTATTGGAAAAGCACTTGGGAAATGCAATCCTAGAAAAGGCAAAGTTTTAACCAGAGTGGCTTGACAAAGTTAAGCATCCATTCTCGATGTGACAAGTCTCTTATATTAATCACTAGATTAATGGCTTCTCTTGGCTAGATCATATGATCCAGCATGACACTGGTGTGTTCCCTGGTGAGGTACTGCAGAGCTATGTGTGCACAAAACCCACCCATTTTAAACTTTCAATAAATACAAAGCATCATTTTAAACCATTTCAGTAAAATAAATTAAAAGTATTGCATTTCTAATGACCTGCTTGATCACCTCGTGGACTGGCTTGAAGTGCTATTCATGGCAGAGTAAACACAACAGTTAATTGGTGGCTACTCCAAGTTCTTTAGACTTCAGCACTTCCCGCTCTTCAGGCCTCAGCACTTTTTTTGCAGCAATAATGGTATTCTTCATTAGCATTGCCACCGTCATGGGACCAACACCCCCAGGGACAGGAGTGATATAACCGGCTCTCTTCCTGACTCCTACATGGAAACAAGACAGGCTGATTCAGTTACGGCAAAAAACATTATGAAAGGTGCATACAAAAAAAAAAGCAATAATAAACATAAGCACCTTCATTAGCCTCAAAACTCATTAAAAGAAAATTATATCTACATCACTGAAGAGTAAATGATTTTGAACACACTAGTGAAATAACATGCACATAACATGCAGTTGTTCAATGAATATCTAATAACCTATAGTTTTCTGGTCATACTTTTCTTCCATGTTAAATAAATTTAAAAAGAAACATCTTGGTAGGTTAACTGTAGGGGAGGTAGGGAAGGGTGTAACTGACAATAAGCATTACCTCAATACCCGCCTACAACATTTTTTAAATCTTGAGTATAATTTGCCCAAAGTACCAAAGAAATTTTGTACATCTAATAACCTGTAGTTTTCCAGCCATACGCCATGATTTTTTTTTTAATTTGGTTACCAAGGATTGAACTCAGGGGCATTCAACCACTGAATCACATATCCTTAGCCCTTTTTCGTATTCTATTGAGAGACAGGGTCTTGCTGAGTTTCTTAGGGCCTCACTAAGATGCTGAGGCTGGCTTTGAACTTTTTTTTTTTTTAACTATTCATTATTTTTTAGTTTTAGGTGGACAAAATAAAATATCTTTATATTTATGTGGTGCTGAGGATCGAACCCAGTGCCTCATGCATGCTAGGAGAGTGCTCTACCACTGAGCTACAACCCCAGCCCCAGGCTTTGAACTCTTGATCTTCCTGCCTCAGTACCCTGAGCTGCTGGGATTACAGGTATACACCACCATGCCCTGCTTATTTGTTGTTTTTATATATTTTTAAAATTACATCATTTACCTTCAAAGTCTACATCTCCAACCAACTTGGGTTTAGCAGTTATAGGATCCTGAATTCTGTTAATTCCCACATCAATGACTGCAGCTCCTTCCTTGATCATATCTGCTGTGATCAGATTTGGAATGCCTGGCCAATGGAGATAGGAATGATCAACTTAGTACTAAAAAGAAGATTCCACCAGTCAGATTCTTGCCTTTCAATTTCTAGAGACTTAAAAGAGCTAATTAACGTATTTTATAACATGTTAAAGAATCAAGGGACCATTTAAATTCATATAGTAAATGGAACTATTTTTAGGTGTAAGGAAAAACTTTCACCTATCCAGTCTATAATGGAGTGCCAGAAACCAGTATTCCAACCATAACTCCACCCTCATCTTTGAAGGCAGCTCAAAAAATCATTACGAGGGGAAGGATGAATGGCAATGAGGCAGGTGGATCCTAAGAGATGAGGTACAACTTCACTCTTCTGAAGAGAAGTCCTTCAAGCCCTCTCCCTTGAGTTCTTACCTGCAGCAGATATGACAATATCTGCAAGAATTGTGTGCTTCTTCAATTGTTCTTTGGGAGTGTATCGATGAGATATTGTAACAGTGGCATCACCTAAGGGAAAACAAAATGGATGTCTTGATTACTGAATCAAAGCTGATTAGGTCTCAATTAATCAAGTCATTGTAGAAACTGATCTCTGAAAAATAACTGACTTAATGCTTGTGCCCTATTTTCTGGACATCTAATTGTTATTTGCTTTTGAAAATTAATGCTCAGTATAGCTCTTACCCAGAGTCTTTGCTCTACCCTTTGGAATCATACATAATTAACTTTATTCCTTATTGTACTTCACAGCTTTCCAAGAATTTTATCTTGTCTAAGATATAATTGTCACGGGGTTACAAGTGTTATTTATTTATTTATTTATTTATTTAGTACCAGGGATTGAACTCAGGGGTGCTTAAACACAGAGCTATATCCCCTTTTTTATTTTGAGATAGGAATTCATTAAGTTTCCCAGGACCTCACTATATTGCGGAGGCTGGCTTTGAACTCGTGGTCCTCTTGCCTCAGTCTCCTGAGTCGCTGTGATTATAGGAATATACCACCACACCCAGCTGCTTTTTTGTTTTTTTAAGTTAATGAAAAAGATAGCTGGAAATATAGTTTTGCTACTATTTCTGATATAATCATGTAAGGTTGTTATTGCAACAATTACATGTGATAAATGATTTATGAGGCTTTTTCTTAGATAAAATAACATAACTTGACATGACACATGGCAGTCATATCAAATCAACCCTTTGCAGTTGTCTGAGATATTTTTCTACCAAATGATACAGAACACTATATTAACTTCAAATAAGAAGTGCTTCTTAGCTCCAACCATCAAAGCCACACCTGAAAATTTCTAATTGCCTACAAAATGCTTTACTCAAAACTCAAATTGATTTCTAGGTTAATTCCATAATAAATGAATTGAAACTCCTTGATGATACTGAGTAGTTTCTATACAAAAGTTACTCACTGAGTAAATGTTAACAGAATTATAACAAATATACTTCTGTTGTCTCTGAAGGTTCTCCAAAAAGGGAGAAGAGAACACTGCTCTGAAAGCAATTTCCTTACCTCCAGGTCTTTCATGAGCCCCATCTGTGTGTAGTAACATTGCAATGGGCATTCCAACATTTTTTGATCTTCCAGCCACAACCACATTCTTCCCTAGGGTTGGAATACCTATGAAAAAATGTATATTTTTGCATTAAAAGGAGTGTCAATCCATTGAAAATGTGCAAAAAAAAAAAACAACAGATGACCTGGGACACGAATCCAATTTTAATAGTGAAGGAAATCACTAAGTTTATTGCCTCATTAGTCAGTCAGAGTTAATACTTGCTACACATAGAAAGGGCTAAAAGAAAACAGGATAGCCAGGTGCAATGGCACATGCAGGTAATCCAGTGACTTGAGAGGCTGAGGCAGGAGGATTACAAGTTCGAGGCCAGCCTCAGTAACTCAGTAAGACACTGTCTCAAATAAAAAATTAAGGGCTGGGGATGTGGCTCAAGTGGTAGCGCACTCGCCTGGCATGCGTGCGGCCCGGGTTCGATCCTCAGCACCACATACAAACAAAGATGTTGTGCCCGCGGAAAACTAAAAAATAAATATTAAAAAAAAAAAATTCTCTCTCACTAT